GGTGAAAGAGTCTATAAGTGATTTTGACATTGCATCATAGAAAGAAACTGTTCCCAGATTACAATCACCCTATGTATCGCTGACTTATAAATAGCATGTTAAATATTTTATGCATTTTGACATTGATCTTCCCAACAGCTCATAAAAACTAAAAACTAAACAACCAACGAGGTCGTAGCTTATATTTTTGAACCTTTTATAAAAACAAGTCTTACAAGGGTTTCATTTGTAATGTTTAATAAAATTACATCTCGATTCCAGGACCGCTTCTACTGTAAAGTACGGTGGCTGGGAGGTGTCAGGCAAATGCATTTACAAAAACCCTTTGCAAACTCCACAACACAAATGCAAAAGAGCCACAATGAAAGTTGTGTCACATAATATGAAAATATAAAAAAACATTGGACAATATTTATCATTTAAAAAAATCACATAGCGACAGTTATCATACTTCGTCGTGTCCGTCTTTGGAAAAAACAGTCCGTCAGAAACATGTTCATGTGTCCGTCTATAATAACGGACACACTCCTTGTGTTGTGGAGTTTGCAAAGCGTTTTTGTAAATGCATTCCCCTGACACCTCCCAGCCACCGTAGAAAAGTCTTGCACTAAATGAAGAGCTCGTTTGCAAAAGCAGATAGCTCTGTTTTTATACATTTTCATCAACTTTTTTTTATTGTTTATTTCAGGTAATATCACTCAGACTGACAGTTGTACAGCTTTGACCCAGTTCCCCGTAGGCTGCCTGACATGTACAAAGCATCACTGGTTAGGAGCGCTGCGTGGGTCCTCAGCAAACATGCGCTCTTTGGGGAGGGGGGAATGAAACCATGAAAACAAAGGCTAGATGTGGCTAGACATGAATTAATAACAGAGTGCCTTGGATACATTTTTGTGTTTGCCTTCTTTACTATTCAGAGGAGTTTTTCATAAACTCATCTAGCCTATTGTTTTCCCCATAAAGGCTGTTGGGTTTTTGCACCGGAACAGATTTTAGATCAGAGAACAGGTGTTTTTAAAGTGGTAATCAAAACTCTCTGGGCTTTTCTCCCATGATCTGTTTTTTGCTAATTAACTCTTCTTCTTCCCACAGACTTTAAACTCAGCACAAATCTGCAGTCAGAAAAAGGTTAAGGTAATAAGTTAATGTGTGCTAGACCAGCAGAGCTCAGTTAGTAAGTTCTTTCCTTTATTCTGACAGAAAGTTAAAATGTACGAGACTGTAACCCTAACAATAACTCTACAGTCAGCGTGTAGGAATGAGCAGCTGACAGGAGCTTGTGTCGTTGTGTCACTGCAGACTGAGGAACCAGAGAGAAAAACAGAAAACTAAACAATGGTTTCTATAAATGTATGTGTGGATTAATTGATTCAGAAAATGTGATCATAATGTCTCTGACTCCGCCCACACTAAGTGACACAAGGTATTCCTCGTGTTTCTGGAAACACTGGCGCAAACGTCTCTTTTTGTATTTTAATTAGTGACTAATTGTGAACTGTAGTGATTTTATCCCTTTTATTGTTGTCCTGTAATTATATTTCTTGTGTTTTTTTTTATGATGACATAACAGAAGCGTATTGTATTCATGTGGTGATTATTTTTTTGTGCCTGGTTTCCTGTTACGAGATAAAGATCTCGTTATTAAGAGATGAAGATCTCATTATTACGAGAAAAGCATTAGGATGGTGGCAATGAGGAGGCGCAGGTTTGTTTATGGGAGTGCACAGTACACCAGCGGCAGCTCATTACAACATTTCGGTATAAACGCCGTGGCAGGCGATTTCGTTGTATCGCCTGCGTTGAGTTGTATTTCATGGGGTTAAAGTATTTTCAGTAAATGCCTGATCGTAAAAACACCACGTAGCCAGCTTGAATGCATTTCATATGCATGACTTTATATCTGTGAAGCATACCATATCTATTTAACTGATCCTGGAGGAATAACGCAATGTCAAATAGGTCAGAGTGTTCTTTCCGTCTGAACAACCTTAACTCCTTCAGATGCCTGAGCAAGATGAAAATAAAACACAATCAAATCAATGACCCTGGTCATCGTTGCCTTTTGATCTTCCTCCCTCCTCTGCCTCCCACAATGCAAACTTCATTAACCCTCTAGTATCTTTTTCTTGTTATAATGAAATCTTTATCTCGTAATAACACCTGGCAAAAAAAAAAAATCCCCACAATTGCAATACGCTTCCGTATGATATGAACCTTATGGTCTGAAATAAAGTATTTTAGCACCCTTATGATGCATAACTTCAATACTGACATGATCATCGTTACTTGCGACCCACCACCTCCCTATCACACCTCAGACGATATCTTCAGTCTTTTCCGTCAAAGCCAGTTCAATCAGCTTTTTCATTCCGTCAGCCTCAGATGACATCATCAGCCCTCTTCCCGTCAACCAAAGTCTTCACAGTTCGATCAGCTCTCTTCCTCCCATCGGGGATAGATCTTTGTTGCTGCTCAGTGCAGACATCTTTGATTACCCTCTGTCTCTGTAGAGTTCAAGCGCCAGAGATTCTCTGACAATGACAACATCACATATGTAAAATGAATATTAACTTGTCTCCCCATTGTATTGAGGTCCAAAAATCTTGCATCTTACAACGACCTGCTTGTCTGGTAGTCTCGACCGTACACACAAACAGGCCTCGCTCTGCTCTAACTTTCTGGCTGCGTCACTGCAGACGGCTCTGTGTCAGGAGGATCTGAGGTCAGGTTGCTTCTGTGTATAAATCAATAGCTGTCAGCCCCGGCTGGGCCTGCTTACACACTCTCCAAAGATGACTGTTCCTCATAGCGGGGCTCTAATGTGAGTCATGGTGGTGGGAGCCAATGTAACATGGCCAGGGCCTGTAGGCAGAACGCAATGCACCGTTTTCTGGAACACTATGCCCAGTATGCAGTCAAGTGCTGAAATGTTTACAAAATGCCTGTAGCATGCTAAAAACTTGACATTTATGAATCAAAAATACGTATTTAAACTTCTTATGCTGACCAGAGAGGAAGAACTCAGTATTGTCACCTTTCCTCACGCTGTGTTTCTTGGAGTTAATCCTGCACAGAAAAGCCAGAAATGAAATACCTTGCATTTTATTTCACAGAATCAGCAGAATCAGAAGATAAAAACCCGGCATTTCTTAGCTGCACTTCAGAATATGCAATCGGTCTGAAACTAACCATGATGCTGCCGTTTTCTCATTGGTCCTAATGATTCTGTCTGCATCCAATTTTATCATCATCTCATTTCTTTTCTATTTAAATGCTTACACACGCCTAGCTTTTACAGCTTAACAATGTTGGTAGTGCATCCCACTGCACATTAGGTTTTAGCTTTTCTTCTGTTGTTTGCTAGCACAAGAAAGTGATGGAAATATTTGGAGAGCCATGCAATGTTTCCTCTTGGTTCTGGAGGGACCTACTTTTGCTCTGTTTCCATTCTTAATAAGTTTGAAATATATTTTTTCTATGCAACCCACTTGAAGCTTGCACTTGAATTCTTTAAAATTCACAAAATATAAAATATTGTTTGAAAAAAATCACTAAATTTGACATTGAGAAACTCAAATCCAACCTGTTTATGCATCAGCAAGGCAGCATAAAAGCAACATAATGCAAAAGTATAAAGTGCAAAGTATGCTCCAACTAAAAGCTTAAATCAATTTTGAGACCATGGATGCTATGTAATTGCCAAACTTTCATACTCTTTATATTGCCAAAATACACCAGCTCCGGTGTTGAAAAATTAAGCCGATGTAAGCAGAAGTGCAAAATCCTGCAGTTCCTAGAGTGTCCACTAGAGGCTGGCTGCGGAAGCACAGGAAGTCACATACACACCCATTCAAAAAAGCTTCTTTTTTTTTTTACGGAGATTTACATGTTTACAGCCTAGTTCAAAAAACAAATACGTCTGATTAGTTCATGTCTCGATCGGCACACACTGTACGGAGGATGGATTTTTTGATGACTCATCAGCTTGATTTGATGAAGGATAAGAGTTATTCACAATAAGGCGTGTAGCTGACATGATTGACAGGCGGGCACTATGTAACGGTTTGTCAGGAGGTTTAAAACCCGCCTCAGCTCCAGCTCTCAGCCTGTCATTAGGTTGACTGAAAATTAAGCTGAGACAACATTTCCAGCGTTGAGACCGCCATTGATAGGACTCCAGCGCCCCCTCCAGGAACAGATGAGTGATGTCACTCAGGCATCGGCTATTAATATATAGTCAATGGTTCTTCTACATCTGGTTAGATTTGTTAAACGTGAGCTAACATGCTTTTTTGGCAAATCTGACGTAGTCGATTGTAAAGTATGAAAGTTTTCTAATGAGTAGATTGTTTCTGTACTTTACATTGTTCTTTATGTAGTGGTAGGGCAGCTATGATGAAATAAAAGGTATGCATTTTCAAACGCTGGGCCACGCTTGTTCTGCATCTTTGTTTGGACTCTCCTGCTTTCCCTCTCTTAAGCTTCTTACATCAATATCCCGTTTGGTCCCTTCATCCTGCCTAAATGTTTGTACTTAACATACCGGGCTCGGACATGTAACTGGAGCAGTCTGCCTTCTTGTCATGTTTGAGATGTCCAACAGAAGATGCTTTACCTCCCTACCTTCCTAGATAGTTGAATTCAAATAACTGTTAATCAAATGTTACAAGAACTCAAAAAGACTAAATTAATCACTGATTCAAAAAATAAAATCACAGCATTGTTCTTTTCAATTATTTTCTGTCTCTATAGCTAATCATAGGGAGGCATGTGAGAGTGATTACAAATCCTCAAAGGAATGTTGTCTGCCATCAAGCTTTGGTGGATTCAAGCTGGCCCCTGAGACACATGGGGGGGGGGGGGGTGATGTTTCTGACCTTGTCGTTTATTCTTAATGTTCTGATAGCATTTGTTGTTGTTGTTGTTGTTGTTGTTGTTTATTTTCTAACTTCATGTCAGTACTATAAAAAATAAATAGGTGAAATAAAAAAAACAAGAGATTGTATGAACAGTCATTTTTCTTTTATACTTATAAATTACCCACTTATATTCCATGACATCATTGAAAAATCACTTGCACTAGCATTACTTAAATTAACAATGAAGATCTTTAAACATTATGCGGTGAATCACTTTGATCCTTACTGCCTCTAATTAAGTTTCTTTAATCATCTGCAAGTTTTCAACATAACATGAGAAAATATATCTGCGTTATTGATGTGCATTCACGGTCATAATCATTCCATGTCATTAAATCATGATGTGAGGATACGCAAACAAAGATACATTAATAAAATGGTTCACAAAAACAGGAAAGTGTTCAACTGAATCTCCTCTCGACTCTGTGTGACTGTGAGTCTGAAATGTGTGAGTCTGAAATGTGTGAGTCTGAAATGTGTGAGTCTGAAATGTTTGTGTGTAAGTGTGTGTCTACAGGCGATTTGAAATGGAGCTGGTGACTGACGACGGTTGGATCATTTCTTCCATTATCAGAGCGAGGATTTTGCACAGCTCCTTAGCCTGCAGGACACAAAAAATAAAGTCTGAGAATATATCACAAATGTTTTGGATTATTGCATATCATATATTTTACAGTTCACAAATGTATTCCTGTTTGAAGATGTCATCATATCATTGTATGCAGAAATCCAACAGCAGATAGCACCTTAAAGTAACTACTGTTTATTTATGGCAGAGGCGTTTAGTGTCTTGCCCAAGGACATATTGGACATGTTGCTGCAGGAGCTGGGGATCAAACCCCCGACCTTCTGGTTGAGAGACGACAGACTTTTCCAACTGAGCCACAGCCGCCCTTTTAAAATGCTACCTGATTCACACACATTGCACATTACATGCAGTGGTGATTCAAGAGTCTGCCGGGGCCCTGGGCAAAAGTTAATTAGGGGGCCCTCCCACCAGCGTTCAGCAGGGCAACCAGAGTGAATGTTGTCAGATGGGGCCCCATTAGGCAGGTTTCCTACTGTCATTGCAAAATTTGCACATTTTGGGCCGCTGCTGTGGTTCAAAGTTTGTCTGCCCTCTGGGGCCTCCTTACTGGTCCGGGGCCCCAAGTAGTTGCCTGCCTTGCCTGTTGACAAGCAGCGCCTCTGACTACAGGTTATGAAAATCATGGCGCATCACAGACTACAGGATTTTACTAAGCTTGTCGTGGAGTGAGAGGCGTTACCTGTTTGAGATGAATGGTGACTTTTTGGAGACGGACTGGCTTTCCATAATGGATGTCCACAGTCGGCATTTTGCTAAGTTTCTTTTGGCGGACGGTGCTCATGGACTGAATTTCTGCCAGAAGAATCTGAAACACCACCTCCTGCAGAAGAAAACAGAACAAATGTTGGCAACCAGTGTCGCACACTTACATAATCTATTATAGTCTCATAACATCACAAAATAATCCCCACAGAGATAAAAAAAAAAAAAAAAAACACTTTGTGTAAGGGTCAGAGGGTTTTGAACTACAAACAAACATTGTACTTCACACTTCAAATTTAGAATAGAATAGAAAGCCTTTATTGTCATTTCTTCACCTTAAAGTGCACAGACATTCAGACATCCAGAGCTACAAATAACTTGCATCCAAGCAAGAGGGACTGTAAATGGTAAACGAACTTGAGTAGCGCTTTTCTAGTCTTCTGACTACTTAAAGCGCTTCTACACCACATGTCACACCTACACATTCACACACTGATGGTGGATGCTGCTGAGTAAACAGACCATCAGAAGTAACTAATCACATTCATACACATTCATACTCCACCAATGAAGCAGCTGGAGCAACTTGGGGTTAAGTGTCTTGCCCAAGGACACATTGGACATGTAGCTGCATGAGCTGGGGATTGAACCCTTGACCTTCTGGTGGAGAGACGACGACTCTATCAACTGAGCCACAACCACCCCAAAAATCACCTACCTTCTCTGGTCCAAACAAATCCAGAGTATTCAGGAGCAGAATCTAAAGTTAGAAGGAGGACATACTGGCTGCTGCATTGTTGTCAACAGTCAGCACTTCAACATAGCATGTTTCCTTCATGTCTGATCATATAGTAAGGTCACTTTATCATTTCATTCAGAAGATATTTTGCAGATTGGACCTTTAAGGTTGAATATTATTAACATGGTAAAATGTTTGACCCTGGATGATAGTGCTCTGTCACTCATGTATTATTGAAAATAATGGTTTTATTTAAACATTCTGATTGATTGAATAACATATTTTCTCCATTCAACGTGGATACAATCGATTCAGGAGCGCTGCATGTACCTGTGTTTTTGGGTGAAGAAACAGCACCCCCTCCTGGCTGATGCTGACCAAGCATGGAGACGGACAGCCTCGCTGGCTCACCTTCTTGGCCAAGAAAACGTTGGAGCCAAACAGAGGCAGGGTGCTGAGTACCTCTGAAAGGAACCCGATTAAGATCATCATTAAATCATTGTCTGTTCTAGAGGAGAGGAGAGGAGAGGAGAGGAGAGGAGAGGAGAGGAGAGGAGAGGAGAGAGTAGTACCCACCAATGAATTGTATTTTGGCGTCTTGTGGTTGAAGGGACTGCTTGGCAGCTATCTGGTGTTCGCAGCTGAAGAGGATCTCCTCCACTCTAGACTCGAGCCCATCCTGTTTCGGCAGGTAATCCTTAATCTCCTCCCTTGCAGAGAAATACAATCACTCATATTTAGTTCAGCCTGTTAATCAGTTCAGTAAAAGGTTAAACAGGGAAATACATATTTATTGAAGAGTCAAATGCTGATTTAAACATCCATCTGATCATTATCTATGCCACATTTCCAGTTAAGGATTGCAGGGGGGCTCTATTTAGTGTCTCCAGTTAACCTAACCTGCATGTCTTTGGACTGTGGGAGGAAGCTGGAACACCTGGAGAGAACCCACGGGGAGAACATGCAAACTCCAACAGAAAGGCTCCTGTCTGATGGGGATTTGAACTAAAAACCTTCTCGCTGTGAGGCCACACCACTAACCACTGCATCCTTTTGCAGACCGGATTTAAACAGTTTAGTGTAACTTACTTTTCCTCTTATCTTCTCAAAATCTCAGCCTGTCAATAGCTAAATCAAACTCTTTCATTTGGACTTACTTTGATCAAGTTTATTCCCTGCTGTGATTACATTCACAGCTGCTACTTCAAACTATCTGAAGTAGCAAATACAAAACTATACACCTCAGAAGAAATTTGTATCATCTCAAAGGTTTTCAAAGTTTTCAAAACTTTGACACCACATGTTTTAAAAGGAGCATAAAACATAAAGTTAGACAGATGTCATAAATTCAGGATGGACTTGTTTATTTGTGGCAACAAAACGAGTGTTTATGTAACGTGTCTGTAAAACAAACCACAATCCAACTGATGAGGAAAGGAGTTGGACCAAAATGTTTACTGTAATGGATGTACCAGCTAACAGCTAGCCACATTTAGCCTGACCATCAAGTTTGTTCACTCGCATTTGAAGATTACACGTTTTGATAGTCAAGACTCTGGTTGTTGGTGAATTAATCGGTTAGTGTGTGGTATGCTGAGTTGGTCGTCTCGTTGCACACCACACACTATAAGAACTGAAATGTTAATCATCTTGTCGTCATGTGTGGAATCTCTCACATATCCAAAATCCTTTAGGATTTAAAAATGTGTGTAGTGTGTGCCAGGCCTTAGTAGATAAAACCAAGAAATTATCCAATATGTGGTACCTGAAACTTCTATTTTGTTTCTGTTGTATTGAAACAAGTACTTGAGTTTGATTTTGCTAGATTCATGCCACAGTTTAAAAATCTGGTATAGTGACAACCCTATTCCTCTATCTCTGAGGGTTATGTTTGTGTGTTGTTTCTCTGTCTTTAACAGCCAAGTTTCCTAAATGGATCAGTTTTTGAATAACGTCTTCTTTGTCTCACATTGAAGGCGGGTCCATCAGTCCCTGAGCCAGATGCTGCAGCGCTGACAGCTCTGCCACCTGCTGGACAGAAGGGGAACCATCTGCAGCAAGAGGAAGCATCAGCAGCCCACTCATGAAGTCACCCAAGAGCTGCACACAAACACAGAACATACAACAGTTTAATAAATACTCCACCAGTGGTACTACTTCTCCTAATGTTTGTGAACTGGTGTGGTCACCTGCTTGTAGTGAAAGTCTGCATAGATATCATTGGCGAAGGTCAGGGGGCTCCTCCACATCACTCTCCTCAGAGATAAAGAGATGGAGCCGTCGTCCAGCACATAGTCGAACACATACTCCTCAGCATGGATCGGACGCACCATCCCATCTGAGGAGGAGCAGGGAAGCGAGGAATCAGACTTAATTGTCCATATGCACACCAGTTCATGAAGCAACAGTTCATAACTCAAGTCTACCTGTGATTTGTGAATCAGGTAGAAACATTTACCTGGAAGTCTGTTGGCGAAGATGGCGAACTCTTTGATTTCTGCCTGATCTGAGATTCCAATTTCTTTGCAGAAATCTGTCACCACATCTACTGCCAACTAGAGGAAGAAAAGGAAATTATAACCAAGCAGACAATGACTTAAACAAAAACAGCGCCGGCTTCTTTCACATTCTTGATTAGTTGGTAGAAATAAATCTTACATTGAAGCTGCGAATCCTCGTGGGGTATTTCGCTCCTCCGGGCAGCTCGATGGAAACGCAACGAGAAGTTTTACCAGACTGCAGAAAGTCAACACACACTCAGAGTGAGAACAGAAGTAAACAGACATTGAATACATTTAACGTATGAAATACAAGTCGACTGTGAGTAGGTTAACTTGCCATGATTGCCTCCATCTCTTCATGTGAGGGGATGTTCCGGCGACCACCGAAATTGAGAGAGCGCTGAAGGCTATCAAGACACACAGACGCCAGCTCTGAGGGTAAATGTAAGGTTATAGAAAAGTGTGTTCACGGACAGAAACGTCCAAAATAATTGTCCGATATTCTTAAAGTTTTTAAAGACATTCTTCATTGTGTAGTGTTTCTTCTACCTTGGTACGGGTGTTCGTAGTCCTGAGAGATGACTTGCAGGTGTTGTGTGACGTACGGCTGCAGAGTACCAGAGCAGGGGAAGAACCCGGTCACCAGGTTGAGCATCCGCCAGCCAAGAGTACAGGTCGACCTGTGGAGACGATGCACAAGAATCGGATAAAGGTAGTCTACAAAAATTGTATAATTTTGGAGTCAATAGACATTTTTTCCTTTTTTAAAATGTTTTGGGTTTATGATCTCTGCCTGCTTCTGATATTATTTTTACTAAATGATTTATTCATATAAAAATCATTTAATTGTACTAAAAGCAACATTATGGAGGAATTCTCTTGGTGCAGTTGGGCGCCCACCAAAGTTCTCTGTTGAGGTTAAGTGTCTTGCCCAAGGACAGATCCAAGCTGGGGATCAAACCCCCAACCTTCTAGTTAGGAGATGACCCACTTTACCAACTGAGCCATAGCCGCCCCAAAAACATGCATCCTGTTTCTCTACAGAGTAGTGCAGTTTTAGAGACGGGCTAACTGGTTTCTTTTTAACTGAAGGCTTCTGTGTGAACTAGTGCAGTAAAGTTCTCAGGAGAGAACTGTGGCCTGCTGCCAAAGTGACGCAGTACTGAAAAAAGGGGACTGGGGCACTCTGTGAAGATGGGAGGACAGCATTAAAAGTTATTAGATCAACTGTAAAACTTCTTATATATTAAGATGGAAACGTTAAATTGTGATGCTCCAGATTCCATTATTTTCTGTTATTACAGGAAAAGCACGTATTTAATACACAGAATGTATTGAAAATGTTGTGAAAAAGTGTCAGACACTCACTTGGTTGGGTTGTTTGTGATTTGTTTGATGACCTGACAGTAGATTTCATCTCTCAGCAGCTCCTTCTCTTTCCCTAACTGGACAGAACAGAGAAACTCTTCTTTAAATAGCATCAAAACCGGAGATGAACTGAAACCTAAAAAATCTATTCAGTCTGTTAGAGACGCTGTTTGAGCGAGCACTGACCAGCAGGATGTGGTTCAGACAGTCAGACTCTGTTTTTTTCTTCTTCAAAGGCATGTCACCCATGAACTGCATCAGGTCTGCAGAGACAGATGAATGTGAGTATGACGGAGTAACAGAGTCACAGAGTCACAGTGGTTCAAAGTTTGTGCTAGAATGGTTAGTTTGGTTTGCTCTTACGTGTGAAGCTCTGCACAGACAGGTCGTTGATCTCTGGATCATTGTAGAGGATCAGGGACTCAGTTATGGGGGCCTGGATGAGAAACACAATGAGGTTAGTTTGTTTAATTTCTACAGGAAAGTTTCAGTTACATCAAGATCTCCTGAAAAACAGATCTAAGGGTAACATACGTATTTACATAACTTATCAAAAATGTAATAATCGGGTAAAATAGTTAACTTAGATCTATGCAAATGATGGTATACATCTTAGTAACAGTCCAGTAAATAAAACACAGGCATGCTGGAGCTCCCTGAATGACAGTGTTGATCTTAAACCTTTTCATATCATATAGTTATTGCCATAATTATACACAATACACAAGAAATGATGGGTCTTATAAATCTGCATTGAGCAAATCAATGACTAGATGCAGCATCATTTTCTCTGCTAAACAGAAATAAGACAGACATAATAATTGTCTTTAGGCCACGGGAACAAAAGTCAAGAGTCCGCTTTACCACAAGTCCCTCTCTCTTACAGCTAAGAGTCAAGCAAGAACTCATTACTTCTTCTGCTTTTAGCAATTTTAAAAACATTGCTAAGGTCAGAGGAATAAGGCTTGTGTCTTTATTTCCAGCAGGTTAGATTACTGCAGTGGTTTGTTCAAAGTTCTCTCAAAAGTTGTTCAGCGACTTCATCATATTAAATATGGCAAAAACTATGAAATCAGACCACATTAAACTAATTCTTAAACCTTTGCAATGGCGACTCAGAGAATCAATTTCAAAATGTTTTTGTTCTCTCAGGAAATACATCTCTGACATGCTTGTGACATATGAACCATCGAGGATCCTGAGAATATCTGGGGCTGGCCCTCTGGCCGTTCTCAGAAACAAAACAAGGTTAAGCTGTGCGTAGTTTTTAAAGTTTTAGTTGTTGTTTTTGGATTACGGGATACTTGACAGGGGCGAGAGCCTAAAGCGCCAGAAAAAGTCAAACTTATATTCAAATTCAAAGTATAAATTACCACTACCATCCACTATAGATAAACAGGTCACAACATCAGGATGGCCTTAAGGGGGGCTTTGGCATTAGGATGGATGGTTGGATGGATGGTTGGATGGATGGACTGATTGACAGATAGATGCATGGATGGACTGATGGATGAATGGATAAATGGAGGGATGGATGGATGGGTTGTTAAATGAATATGGATGGATGGGTGAATATAGGTGGATGGATGGATGGATGAATGGATTGATGGATTGATGGATGGATGGATGGATGGATGGATGGAGGAATGGATTGATGGATTGATGGATGGATGAATGGATATAGATGGACAGTTAGATGCATGATGGCGGGATGGAGGGATGGATGTCAATGGATGAATGGTTGCTTTGAATAAAAGCATCTTCTAAGTGAATTGTAGAATTGTTTGAGGGATTTCACTGTCTTACCTCTGTGTGTTGAATGGCCTGTGAAAAACCCCTCCCACTGTCTGGCAGACCGTTTGTCCCAGCTCTGAAATAAACGAATAATGGACGCACATAATAAGCCAATGACATTCATGAGTACAACTAAAACCATCTAAACATAATAAACAACAGTTAGAATTCACCCATCATACCTGAAGTACTTCATTGCAAACTCAGCAGTGGGAGAGAGGAGCTCATGGTCTGATCCCTGGATGGAGCCCCGGAGCGAGGCCTCTCTGCTGGGCTGCTCTGGTTCAGTGCTGCCTGTCTGTCTGAAGATGGGACCTGAGGGCGGGCCGTTAGTTGACCTCACAGGTCTGTTGTTCCTCATGCTTTTCCTCAGGTCATCTCTTTTGATCAGGTGAAGGTTATGGTAGTCGGGGGCTGCAGACGGCTGGGTGAGATCCTCAGAGAAAAGACCAGAGCGTCCTGCCAACATGCCGAAACACCAGCCTGCAGGAACATAAACGAAAAAATCGATTTGATGTAGCACACCATAACCGACCTTCTGCAGGAAACTGAGCGGTTGTTTTCTGCACAAACCTCTTAAAAATGATCTAAATTGAGTCCTACTGTAGAGCATTACAGTTGTTGCAGGTTGCAACGCTATTTTCACACAGTGCCAGAAAACATGAGCGGGATCAAAGTCAAGTTCCCTACACAGTTTCCATCAAGACTGTGGGACAATAGAAGGTCTTGTTTTGAAAAGAGCAACAATGAAGCAGCCAGTAAGTCCTCCTTCTAACTTTAGATTCTGGTCCTGAATGCTCTGGATTTGTTTGGACCAGAGAAGGTAGGCGGTTTTAAGGCACCCCCACACGGCCGTTTTGGACGCACCTCTGTTTGCCAGATATGAGACCAGTTATCAGGTCAAACCAACAGGTGTTGCCTCGATGGAAGCGGGCAAGAGAACTGGTTCAGATAGAAGTGATTGTACCCGACCTAAAAAGCCTCTGCATGTTTCTAATAAGCTCCACGAGCAGAAACGTGCTCAAACTAGGATCAATATTGGAGATGCTTTTGAAAAATGGAGAGAGGTTAGAACACAGAAAGATTCACAGACTGATGCAGAGTCTACAAATCAACAAAATATCAGTAAATCAGTCTGAGAATCTTGCATCTGGATATTTATTGTACCTTGCTGAAGTCTTTCCATTGGCTGCAGTTTGATGATGTCACCTCTGTTGAAGCTGAGCAGACTTTTATCATCAGTCACAAAACTCTTCAGAGCGACCACATGGCCTGAGTCCTTCAGAGCACAGAGAAAGATTCACATGAGAAAAAGATGCTCCGAAACCATCAAAGGAGAGAAGAAGTTTGGTTATCAAATATTGAGTAGGAATACCCTGATGACTTCTTGGAGGAAGAGTTGGATCATGGCTGTGATCTGAGGAGCTTTGGACGACTGCAGCACTAAGTTTTCACTCTTCAGCTCCAGCTGCACTCGGTCTGTTCCCTGCAGGTCGACTGACAGCAGCTCTGCAAAACTGTGCAAATGCAGAACTGAGTTCATATTTATTTGAATTAAATATGAAGGTTGGGGGTTTTAAGATCGTCATCCCATCACTGCTCAAATTTCTGCATGTATATTAAAACTGTGAGGAGTGATTAGGTCGATAAATACAGTACTTTAATACAAACGTGAGTTGTCTGCCTGAACAAGCAATGTGGTGACAAGCAGTGGATATTCTTGATTCTAGTGGGGACCCTTGGCAAAAATTGATAGCTACCTTGAAAACACCTTTGAACATTGATCTCTACTGAAAAGGAGCACATGTTTAAATGAGTAGAATGTAAAATATAAAGCAATAAAAAGTCATAAACTCTGTCTTACTTTATTTTTCCTCTTCCTTTCTTTACTACCAGATGGATCATTCCTTTTCTATCATTCGCTGACAAACTTTTAAGTCTTTAACTTTTAATTCAGCAGCAGAATGACAAATGGGGCCTCCATAGGGAGGTTCCCTACTGTCATTGCAAACTTTGCACATTTTGAGCCACTGCTGTGGTTTAGAGTTTGTTTGCCTTCAGGGGCTTCCTTGCCCAGAGGCCCAAAGATGTGGCCTGCCTGCCCTGTTGACACGCGACACTTCTTGTGACAAGCTGTTCAGTAAACTGGCGTCTTATGATTGGAGCGTTTGAGCAGTTATCTTGTTATCTCATTTAAATATTCTCGAAACAGAATTAAAAAACTCAACATTAGCAGCTATGAAACTTAAATCAGTGTGGAGACATAAATGAAACTGAGGAGTGACTGAGGTATTTGTGAAAAGTTAGTGTTGTGAAGCCTCACGCTCACCTGTAGCTCCTGAGCTGATGGAGGTGTTTGGGGTTGATGCCTGAAGCTCTGACCACCTTCAGGAGACGAATGCCACGATGAGACACACCCAGCACCTGAGCATCCCCACTGCCCAACTGCCACAACAAAAGAGCAAGATACGATACAGGTGAACAGAAAACACAATGCAGCTGTTTGATTACGTGCACAGAGATGCATGAATACAAATATGGTTGTGGACTGATCGCAAGGAATAAAGACAGACGACTTCATTCTAGACTTCATTAAGACCCCAGGCAAAAATTAACTTTGGGTCCCTCAAACCGGCGTCCATCACCGTTATGTCTGCCAGTGTCCCGATTCTCCTCTACCTCTTTCTTTCTCTTTCTGTTTCCACTCCCCAACAGATAATTCTTCTTCATTTTCCTTTGGTGACTTTTATTTACAAACTTTGATTTCCGCAGAAATAATGCACGTAGAGTGAGTGGTGTCGGATGGAACCCCCTTAGGGAGGTTTCTTACTGTCATTGCTAAATTTGCTTATTTTGAGCCACTGCTGTGGTTTAAAGTTCGTCAACCCCTCAGGGGCCACCACACTGGCCTGGGGCCCCAAGCAGTTGCCTGCCTTGCCTGTTGACAAGCACTAAAAGACACAGGAGTAGCAATGGTTTTTTGAATTCAAAATAATGTGATTATATATTAAAAACATAAGATCTGCACTAAAAGGCCCAATAGAGTTAAAGTAAGAATAAAAAATAAAAAATAAACTTCCTATTCAACTTGAATAAGATTGCGACTTTGTGGAAATACAGAGTTTTTACAGAGATGAAAAAAGTATAAAAAAATATTACTCTTAAAGCTTAAAAACGTTGGTGTATCATTTATGCCTGTGCTTCAGCTGCCACATCACTGAATTCTCACATTATCCTGAACATGTTTGCGTGCTCACCCTCGCAGGGAACAGGCGGGTGAAGTAGTTTCCCCAGTTGTCTCGAGCAGCGATGACGATCCTCTTCTTCATGTGTTCGTTCTCGATGGTGCTGATAGTTGTTCCCACATTGAAGTTTGCTTGGATGAAAAAAGATGTGATTCAATGTTATTCATGTAGCAAACTGTCTGTTATGAATCAAAATAGGACTCAGCAGAATCCTCTTCAGGGTCATTTCTGGGCACTGCCCTATAACTTAATGTTTGGGTGTACTGTTGACAGGTGAGGTAGTATGAAGTCGTGTTGCTGTACTCAACATAGATCTTGGTCTGAAGACCGGTTTAGAGACCACTGTTTGAAGGTCTCCGACTGGGGGGGCTTTGGATTTTAAATCAAGACCTGTCAAGACTATCACTGCCATTTTCTTCACATCTTTACAATGATTAGATGAAAACAGCCCTTTCTAAAACAACGTACAACTTTAATTCAATTGTAGTTTGATCACACAAAGTCTTCTTTTATCATTTAATACTTGTTCATTTTTGCACATCTGACACTCATAAAAAGGAAATGTCTCTCAGCAAGCTTGATGAAAGTCTTACAGCTTGTTAAGTCATCTTTACTTGTAAGATTCAATTTGAAAACCTACATTCATAAAGCATAGACTGTAAAAAGAAGTCTATTAACAAATAGATAAACTGACACCAGAGGGGTTCCTACATCTTCATGTTTGAAGCATAGAGCCACTGACTAAGCTGTTGAGCGATTATTGAGCTAACATTGAACCAAATGTCTCCCTTACGTCTACGATAGTTTATCAAAAACTCTCACCCAGCAGGTCCTTCATCTTCTTCCTCTCCTCTCTGCTGATCCTCTCACAGCTGTCAGAGTAAGTGTCCCTCATGATCTGGAAAGTGTCACACATAGAGACTGAGACGGGTTTGATTTGAATGTGCAGACAAAGAAGGCTTGTACACTGCAAAAATGTATTTGTCTTTGTTTTAGTTAATTATTTGCTCGACTCTGCACCTGCCCTGATAAAGGATACAAACTCGTTCCTGTGTCATACTGAAGTTAATCAGGTTGAACATGATGACACTTGTATCAAATACTAACCTGTTCACACAGCAGATTGAGGATGTAGGGCCGGTTGAACATCTCTTTGGGATAAAACACCTAAAATGACCAAAAGAAAAAGATACTTGTGGTTAGAAAAGAGGACTGGACATTTCCAGTTTAAATTTCATGTGCAGTAAAAAGCATTATTAACGAATACATTGTGTCACTATGAACACAGCTGTAATTTATTCTGTGTTACAGTCACATGGAAAGTTTCCAAAATACATTAAAATAAAGCCTTTATGTAATTTCAAGAGGATTTTCGGAAGAGTAGTCAGCCTCCTGTACGGAGGCTGAGGAAGTATTCAGGTATTTGTGACACCTTTCCTAAAGTATAACGTCACAAGTTGCTTCACATTTCGCCTGTTAGTGCAGGCGGCTGACTGCTCTTCTGATATTACCCTTATTAAAACTCTTCCTCCTCTCCTTTTTGCCTAAAACTCTTGTGTAGAGTTTATGTTTGTGTGCTTGTCTTACTTCTTTTCTCAGGAAAAGTTTTGACGGCACGTTGGAGTGAGACAAGTGAACACCAGGAGAGAACGGGTGGAGCTGTGAGCGAACGCCGTCCTCATCTGCTAACTCTTCTGAATCTAATAAACACAAAAAGGTCTCCGACATCAGATCACCCTGGATACATACATGCTCACAGCATTTAAAAGATTAATAATCCTTTGTTAGTCTTATACAACGTCTTTAGAACATGAGGCAGGACACCCACAGAGAGACGGTGCAACCATGGGCGGGGGCTCCGGGATGTTCTGGAGGACAGGCGCCGGCTGTTGAGGAGGAGGAGGAGGAGACTGCGGGGGTGGAGAATCAGGTGGAGAAGGTGGAGAATGCTGGTTGTCCTGAGAGCGGAACATGTCCTGCAGGGAGCGCTGCTTCTGCCTCATGGTGTCGGAGATGACGCGGGGGCCGCTGTTGGAGGGAGGAGGGGAATGATTGCGCCGAGGAGGTTTGGCGAGTGGTGGAGGAGGCTTCCACTGTTTCTAAGAGAAAAAATAAGAGGAAAACATAACTTTAGCCTTTAACCAGAAAAATGATTTTTATTAAATCTTTATTTGCAGTTCTGCTGACCGTCTGTTGCTGCACTGGTGCTTTGTTTTTCAGTTTGTCCAGAGCTTCTTGTTTGGGGTCACTTTTCTTCACAAAATGTCGTGCAGAAGTTCTGTAGAATCATAAACAGAACAAAAGTTATTATGTCTATGAATGAAGCAAATTCAATCGTGTTGCTCCTAATTCGAAGAGTCCAAACTCCATTGACAAAAGCAATCATCGCCCTCCGCAGAACTCGAGATCTGCTGGTCTACCGCTGCGTCTGACTTTGAGTAGCTTAGTGTTCGGATCATACGTTTGGATCAGGCTTAATATTTATGAGAAAAATGAACCAGTCCCAGGAGATGTAGAACAGCAACTCATTTGATCTGTAAGGAAAAATAACTCTTTATGGTCAGTCGTCTGATGGTTTTGGCTTCGCTTAAAGGGAGAATGTGCGCCTTTTTGATCTCGTAGATGTCGCCGTTGAGCCCCAGCATGAAACCAAAACAAACTGCTTGTTTGCCATACTAAAAGCCTCCACTCTCCTCCAGCGTTTCCATGAAGAGGAAGAAATGGGCGGCTGTGGCTCAGTTGGTAGAGTCGGTCGTCTCTCAACCGGAAGGTCGGGAGCTCCATCCCCAGCTCCTGCAGCCACACGTCTGATATGTCCTTGGGAAAGACACTTAACCCCGAGTTGTGTACGTGTATGAATGGGATTAGTCACTTTACACAGCAGCCTCTACCATCAGTGTGTGAATGTGTAGGTGTGACCTGCGGTGTAAAAGCACTTTGAGTAGTCAGAAGACTAGAAAATAAATATGCAAGCTGAAGTCCATTTAACAGTCACCTCAGTTTACCTGCATAGCAATCCCAGAAGAAATACAAACGTCTATTTATCGCAAAATTGCTCAGACAATAAATGATCCATACCATGGTTTCACATTTGGGAGGGTGTAAAGGTCCAGTGAGATTTGAGATAAAAGGAAACATAGTTCCAAAATGGGTGTGCGTGTAGTCGTCACATGGAGCAGCGCTTTAACTGACCTGACAGGCTCGAAGGGTTTGGGTTCTGGAGCGGGTCTGCTGTTGTACAGTTTGATGATTTCTCGGATGCTGGAGGTGGGCTCCGGCTGAGGCGGAGAGGAAGGGGGGGGTGTTGGTTTCGGGGGATTTGCTTGTCTGGCAGGGGGAGAGCGAGGACGCCTCACTGTGAAAAATCAAAGCTTTGATTAATTTACGATTGTGTTTTCATTATAAGCAGACTAGACAACATATGATCTCTGACTTTTTTTTATTTCTCACCCTCAGGTTTCGGTGCTGTGGGTGGGGGTGAAGGGTGAGGTGATGGGGGGGAGTGTTTCTGCTGTCTGGGTGGACTGTAGCGGGCCGGTTGAGATTTTGGAGTTCTGGATTTACTGGGAGGCTTAGAACCTGGAGGACAGGAGAGTAACGTTGTCATAACACTTCAAAAACACTCAGTCACAAAGTCAAAACTCAAACATGGTTCAGAGAGTCTCAGCAGCAGATCTGATATTTGGTTAATACGGAAAAATAAAAGGATTGACAGCAGTGGTGTAGTGATCTGGTACAAAAAGGGGCGCCATATTGTTGAGAAAAATTAGGACCCATGACTGAAAGAGGCTCTAAATATTAAAACTAGTTTAATTCAAGTTCCCTTGAAATAAAGAAAATACATATCCTGGTTTTAATCCAGCGTTTATGTGTTTAATATTTATCTGCCAAATATATTTTAATAAAGAGTTTTTAAGTATTTTTACATTAAATTACTGTATTTTCTCTTCCTGTAAAACTCTTCGAGGGTGTCGCTATAGCTTTAACTTTAAACCCGCTACTACCTTAAACACAATGTTTTAAGACAGGTAAGATGACCCTTCTTAAATTTTCGAGTTAAAAAAAGGAAGCTAATTAATATAAATAAATACTGGATTCAACTGAACCAGTCCCGTCTGTCACAGAGGTAGGAGTGAAGGTGTTTTACTCTCTGCCTGTCCTTCCCACTTTGAAGGCTTTTTTAAAAGTCTAACAGCGCATTAAAAAAAAGATTCATTATATCACCTGTGTCTCCGATCTACTCACCAATCTTCTGGAAGTATTCCCTCTTGTCTCTGAAAGACTGACGGTCCTCTGGGTCTGGCATGTCCACTTCTCTCTTCGGCTGTGAAGGAAATATTACAATTATGAACAAATCTCATAAACCGATCAGAACCACATGCAGATCTTCTGTAATAAGAGTAATGAGCTATCTGTTTTTGAGCTATGTGTTTATAACTCATATGAGCCTCTCTTTTCACATGTGGATTGATGTTTGCTCTCATTGTTTTTCATTTATTAATACTACAGTGGAGGCAGATAAATGTTTGCAGCACTGGAGTCCAAACTTGCCTCCCCGAGGGAACAATTCATAGCTCTAAGTCACGTGACCTGCAGGAAGCTTGGAGGGCAACAAGAGTTTGGAAAAGTATGGACAACCATTGAACACTGTGGAGCTGCAAAACAGGCTCATGAATCTCTTTAAAACGATGCATGTTTACATCCCCTGACCACCACAGAAAAACAGATGTATGAAGATGGACTGCAGGTTTTAAGGAACTTTCAACCATTACACAGCATACGGGACTCTACTTCAATCACTCATAACGGTCCTTGGCAGAACTTCACTTCAGTGATGTTTACATTTATCTAGTGAAACTTAAATTAAACAGAAGTACCGACAACTTAACAAGTTTTTGATGTGGCTGGGTCCATTATGTTATCAAATAGTGTGACTCAGGAGGAAAAGGATCTCTAATTGATCATAATTTTTTGTAGGTAAAAAAACCTAAAGCAAACAAAGACTAGTCAACTCCTGACGGGCTGTGTCTGCTCCAAAGACACTTTACAATTTCAAAATGGACAGACAATTACACCCATTGATGTCGGCTCTGCTCATCAGTTTTTATATTGTTTGCATTTATCACTGTAAGCAAATGAGGCGCAACTGTGGCTCGAAAATAATATAATGATGTACTGGAGTTACTGTAGGCGTTTATCAAGACAGTTCAGGAGAAGGAGCACTTTAATCCTCCTGAACTATGACCTGCTCATCCACCCAAACTGTTTCTGAGGATCCGTCAATTCTGCCTGTGGTCTGCCGTACCAGAGTCAGGAAAAAAGTGGGCCGAGATCAAGCTTTGCAATCGATCTTGGTACGGTTGTTTGGTCTGCACCAGGATCTGATTCATGACTGTGACCAGATGAGGACACTGAGGTCTGGACTTTGGTTATTTAAAAAAAAAAAAACAAGACAGCAAAAATGGTTACCATCCATCTATGAAGCACTAGATGGCTTTAACTTTGAAAATAGTCATACAGAAATGCCACAAAGATAATTTGCTTTTCAAATAGGAAGTAAGTGGGTTGTCTGGCGTATGGGTTGCATTTGAAGGCATGAATTTGGAATGTCCTGAAATACCTTGAAGAAGGAAACATTAGGAGAAAAAAATGTGGACCTCACTATTTTCTAAACCCTTGTTACGACCTTGCTTTGATTGACAACTTTCACACCAGCAGAAACAGACTGCACTAACTGTTAAACCAAGTTGGTTTAAACTAAACAGGTTAGGTGTTTGTTCAAACAAAATCAGCAAACCAGATAAATGAACAGGCGACTCATCCAAGTGTCTTTTAATTCAATCAAATATGAATAAGACTTTCAGTCTCTGGGTGTAGCGACTTGTTAAATCAAACTTAGCCTGCTTCATCATCTATTGGACTTTATGAAATGAACATTATGCTGTATGGAAGAAGACTAAAAATGTACTTTTTGACTTTCGTCTTTTTGCACTCAGTAGAGTCATATCCTGGAGGCGACTAGAAACATAACGAAGTGTAGGTCGTCTACGTTGGCGTGTTCTTTTAGAGTCGGGACCAAAAGGCACTCCTTATATACGTACGGTCTATGAGCTAAACATACATGAAGTGAACAGACAGCTGGTAGACATTTAACAAAGAATGTACTGAAAAAAAAGATATGGCTGTTTAAAAAATATCAGCTATTCAAAAAAAGACCTACCTCTGGCTCTGGCTGCCTTTGGCTGCGTTGACGAACAGGAGCTTTGGATCGGACAGGTGGGGGCGGTGAGGGAGATTGAGAGGACGATGAGCGTTGCCTTGGCCTCCGCTCTGATGGACGTCTGCGCAGCTTCTCCTGCTCCTCCTTCTTCTTCTGCTTCCTCTGCTGCTCCTGCGTCTGCTGCTGGGACAGAGTCATCGCCTGCATGGTCATCTGCTGTGCCTGAGGAGAAACAAGAAGAGGAGCGACAGGATGGTAACGACTTAGATGGGAGGAAGGAGAAGGCGGAAGTTAAGACAGAGAGACAAGATGAGTATAGTAGGTGTGTGTTTCCTTACCATGAGGGAGGCCTGCTGGTTGATGAGAGCTTGCTGTGTTGCAGCCATCTGCATGGGGTCAGCGACAGGAGCGGCCGCCATCGGAGTCTGAGGCATCATCATAGCTGTGCCAATAAAAAGTATCTTTCAGCAACTACTCAGCTTAAATCAAATCTATAACACACTCTGCGTTACTCACAAATAAATGTTTTCTGATTTGCAAAACCCCTATTCAGTGTGCAAAATTCACATCACTGTGACTGTCACAAAGTGACAAAGTGATCCTCCCTCTGTACCGCCTTCTGAGGTAGCAACAGAGGTTGGTTGGTAACAGGCTGGACAGCAGCGAGACGGGATCCAAGGGGCCAGCTGGGGGAAACAAGCGCTGTGTATGTGCATGTCGAGTGTGTGTGTGTGGAGCTCTTGATGGCCCTGTGAATTCACTGACTGAGACACCAATATCATGCAGACCTTGTGAAATCAATAAGCATGTGAAAAGATGTGACGACGCAGAGAGGCACTCTGAAACGGGCTAAGGACAAAAAAAAAAAAAAAAAAAACGTGTCATGACAAAGTGCCAGTTCATTCTTTAAATGGATCCTTGTGGCTCTTCCAGTGATAACACATTTTTTTGATTGACACCTAGATATTGATTGTTGTCGTTTTGGTGGCTCCACTTGGAGCACAGACTTTGTGGGTTCCAGTCTTCAACACCTCACCTCACGCTATGCTCTCACACACACCCACATGACCACTGATGATACAGACAGAAGACGCCTCATAACTACTGCTGTAAGCATATCTAATTCATTTTGTGATAAACTATTTCTTTACTCCTGAATCCTCCCGTCTTTTGTCATGACCCACGAGCCGGGTTATGACTCCAGGACTCTTTACACATGAGCTTTTGCTTTGCCTTTTTTTCGTCATTAAATTGATCTTAAAATCTGCTTTTGGTTCCTCGACACTTTGTGATGATGCTGAAGGTGAGTGTAAGCAAACAAAGCAGTTTTGGGTTTCAACACCTTGCCAGATCTCTTCAATCCTTATACCCTTTATCTATATGTATTTGTTGAGCTTTTTATGTCTTTATTACAGATAGGACAGTGGATAGAGTCAGACATCAGTGAGAGAGAGAGTGGGGAATGACATGCAGCAAGGGCCTCTTGCTTTGTAGACTGCAGCAAGTGAACCAACCACTAGTTCACTGGGGCCCAATTCCTCACACCCTCTCTCTGCTGGTCATCCCTCGGGCTCAGCAGAACTCAGGGTTGACCACGCTTTTCAGTTGCAGGACCCTGACAAAGTCCTCCTTCTTACATCTACATGGTGTTTAATAAGCTCTCCATCAAGTCGCCTGCTCTGCATTTATCGTATTCAATGAACAAAAGGTGTGTATGGGGAGATTACCTGGCATGGCTGGCATGGCTGGCATGGCTGTTGGCATCATGGGAGTTGCACCATAGGTGGGCACTGAAGGCATTCCTGTGGAGAGCCAAAAACACAAAGATGAGGAAAACTTAAAGACTGTCACTTATTTACTTTCTTATTTGATAAAAAAAAAAAAAAAAAAAAAGGTCCGATGCTTCTAAAAGTTTCAGAAAATTCTGTGGACATAAAAGGAATGTCTGTGCTTACCCATGGGATAACTTGGCATCGTCATTGGTACACCTGAAATCACAAAGTTCACTTCTCACTACAGTCTCTACAGCAACATAAATATTTAAGTGCAAAATAAGAAAGATAAAATCATCTCAGACAAAACGACATTTACAGTTTTAAGGTAATATATACGCTCAGCTTGATCACAATCTTGAAGACGACTTTTAACAGTATATACTAGAACACACTCTATTTATCGAGTGTTAAAGACGATTATAATGATGTAATGTGCGGGGTCTGGCTCGGTGTCGATCGCAGCTCCTTGAGTCCACATGTTGAAGGATATGATCGTTACTGACGGGCGGTTGGACACTTGTCGTAGCAGCCTCCGCCATCAGTGAGTGAATGTGTGTGTGAAAGGGTTAATGCAACATGTGGTGTGAAAGGGCTTTGAGTAGTTGGAAGACTCCTGAGCAGTTTTCTTACCAGCTCCGTACATGCCGCTGTACATGGGTCCAATCCCTCCTCTTCCTCTCATCCTGCGGTGCAGCATGGCTACTCTATCCATGTCCTACACACACACACACACACACACACACACACACACACACACACACACAATTACAATCACAAACAAACGGAGTGCTGTAACTGGAAAGGTGACTTCACACACTCAGTAATAAGATACAACGAGAGACACACAATCCACCAGAGACCTCTGAGCATGCTCAACCACCCCATGAGATAAAACTTTAATGCATCAAAGAGCGTTGCTGCTTTTACTCTGACATGATTTTTAAAAAGACAAACGTCACTGACTGGAGGTCCTTGGTCCAGCACAGGGTCGAACAAGTCGTCGACATAGGCCTCCATTTGTCGACCACGGCCTGCAAACAGGAGAACAGAAAAACCTTACAATTCACATCACCACCGCTCCGCTCTGAGAGCACTGTGTCATCATCAGGAGACTGTTAATGAGAAGTGGAGGAGGCCGATTGGGTTTAAAGCAAAGTCATTGCAGAACAGGTAGTCCACAAAGACTCCACAAAGCACTGGGTGACTTGACGTGGCAATGCTTCATGTCTTTAGTTGGGACAATTCAAAGTCACTCGATAACATTTGAGCCTGAGTTCCCAACAGTCTCAGTTACATGATGTCAGCCAGTGTTTGAGCACAACCTCTGGGAACTCAATCAAGTAAAAGTTCACTCTAAGTGACTGACAGACCAGCTGTTGAGATGCACCAAGGAGAGGATGAAGTTTTTGGATTTGTGGTTTTATTATTCATAGCTTTCACGTGGGCAGGAAAGGCTTTCCACCACTGAACGCTATGGAGATTTGATGTCTAAGATGCTACCTACGTGTTTTAATCAGCTTTATTAACTAAAACAGAATTGAGTCGTTGTTCAATTGTATGCACGAGCTGATGAGCAGACAAGCCCGGGTTGTGCTTCTGCAGTATCCGATGTGAGAAAGAAAACCCAGAGAGGAGGAGATTGTGGATTATTGCTCTTATTTGCCTGCTGTCCCTTTAGGGAACAAAGAACAGCCTTCTCCTCATCCTGACATTAAACATTGTGTTAACTTAAATATTTCTGCCTTTAAATAACATTACTGCCCCAGAACACTGACTGATAGTAGCCATGGTACTTACGATAACTAGCTAATGTTAGCACTCATTTATGCTTTGATGATGAATTTCTTGCCCTTCACTTCTGCAACCGCAGCATTATTGACCCAGACACATTGTAAATACGTAAAGCTTCTTTTGTAGAATTTCATCCTTGCGGCAATGTAAGGGGGAGAATTCTTCACTTTGTTCATGTAAACATTGCAGAAGTGACTTTCTGGCGAGGACTTTGCTGTTTTTAATGATTGAAATATCGAATTGAAGGAAACAGTTTAAGAGTGGCAGGAGCCCAAAACTTGCAGTTTATCTTGATCTCTGTTTTTCTGAGTTGGTCAGGTATATTGCAAATATGCAACGTTTTGAAGTGATGAGAAATGAAAAAGCACGTGCTGTAGCTCCACAGAGTGTTCAAAGGTGGCTCCTACCCCTCTCCTCCAGTCACGTCTCTGAAAGCTATGAATTGCGAAAAACTGCTTGGCCCATAAAAAAACAACACAAACTCTTGGGTTGGCTTTCACCCTCTTTGAGGCGCTTAAGGAGCAGCTTGAGATGTAGAGTGACGTGGACTTTGGTCTGCTTTCTGTTGGACAGGTTTGTGCTAGCTTGCTAAATTATCAGCTTTTCCATTACAACATATGTAATATTGTCAGGTAGCTTTCAGTGTAGGTACAAGCAGTAAACGCGCACGCTAATTCCTGCTATTAACCAATGTTAATAACTTAACGTTTCAGGTCGGGCATGGAAACGTGCCGTGCAGGTGGTTGCTGAGCTGGGTGAGTGTGTTTACTCAGGCAGTACTTCTCAAATAGGGGGCTTAATGAGGTGTCGGGGTTATGAGTTAACCCAAACTCAAACTCAAAATGAGTTAATAAACTGAACTTGGTAATTGTTTGAAGTTGTTGCAGATGTTATCTCAGCTCATTTTATTCATCTATTTTGATAATCAGGTGATTGTATGCAGAATGCTGGTGCCAGCAACTCGTACAGTTGTTTGTATAGATAAATAAATGAATATTATCAGGTTCTCAATAGTATTTCAGTTCAGGGGGGGGGGGGCGTGAAAACATTTCTGAAATAATTGAGAACCACTGGTTTACTGTCAGACGCAGTGGGCGTACGCTTCTGGTGGCGATGAGCAACGAACATTGCCACGGACTCTACCTTTAAAGGTATTATGATTATGGAAATGTTTCTGCTGCTGGATATGGGTGGGTGTGATTGGCAGTTAAATAATGTGTCAGATGCACCTGAGATTTAGGCGTCAGGAGGAGGAAGTGAAAGGAGGTGTCAGCTGCGGTTTGAGGAACAGATATGGACTCTTTTTGGAGCACGGAACAACACAACACCTACCTTCTTGTGGATAATCACTGGCCCAGAGGTTTCCCTCGTATGGAGGCAGGCCAGGAGCTTGCATGAGAGGTGCGGGTGGAATGAAGTCATCCAGATCTGTAGATGGCATCCTGGATTTAAAAAGAGACAGAGAGATGCTCACTGTGTTAGCAAATACTAATCCAGGATCTCTGTCACTGGTGATAAATTACAGATTTATAACTAATATTAATTAAATATCCCTGTACCTCTCCACTGTGTGTAAACAGGTATTGACTATTTTGTACATGTTTATTCTTGATTTTATTATATTCTGTAAACAATTAGGATTAAAATGCCAGTTTTATTATATTTCTTATTATTTTTCACTTATCTATCTTATTCTAGTAAGAGCTGCTTTTAACTTGCTCTGCATACAGCTGCTCAGGCAGATAAATAAACATTTAAGACACTTGTCTACTTCTTTACCTGTCCCCGTGGCTGCTGAACAGGTAGTCAGAGTTCGAAGAGGTGGGAGTCCCAGGTGGCGGCAGAACTTCAGCTTCAGCTCCGGCCAGAAGATCCATGACAAAGTCCGAACCGGCCAGGTCTGACCAGCCGTCGTCGGTCAGGAGGGACACCGACCAGCCCTGCCCCGCCTCCGACACGCCTCTGAGACACATTAACACGTGGAGAGGAATGAAAACTACAGCATGAAGCTTGAGAAACAGGAAAATATGGACATGTAGCAAAAATTCATGAGTCAATAAAAGTTAAGAGACTTGATATTCAGGAGCGGAGAAGTACCTGAAGTGAAGGAGCCATGAGGCCAGCTGCTCTCCTGTGGTCCAGGACTCCACTTCAGTTGTCAGCTGTTCATCTATGAACACATTCAAAGGTTTATGCCTGCTGATATTTTTTACGCTGGAGTCATTGACAGTTTCATGATGGGTTGATTTGTGTCACCGTTGAATGTGTGTACATCCAGCATCATGGCACCCTTCCTTTGGTTGCTGGTCCACTCCAGCTCAGTTGGGGGGTAAGTCCGGGCAGTGGGAGCGGGGAGCTGCAGAGATGTCAGCAGTTTGTGTTGGCACAGTGAGCGGTACTCCCTTGGACCGTGATCAGACACGTACCTGCACAGGAAATACTGCAGACTGAGTCTCTTTCAGGGATAAAGGGCACAGTTTACCTTCTTTTAAAAGTTTTTTTTTTTTAAATAAATCTTAACATGGTGGGGCATGACAACTGAAGGAATGCCAGACAAGAAAAAAGTTAGAGTAAAGCTTTACAGCCTTGTAAATCTGAAGGCTAGCACAGTAGCAAACTATTTTCCATTTCTAAAGACGCGTTTAAAGAATATAATCAGCCGCTCATCTCATATTTCTGGCAGAGACCAATCATTTGGTTTTGAGTATGTTGAGTAAGTGGAGTGAAATTATTTAAAAGAAAGGCAGATACTCCAGAGTCACTGGAAGAGGAAAAACTCACTCTCTTATGAAGGATGGGCTCTATTAGCAGCTGTTGCACCAGCTAGATCTATATTTGCTTGTGTGGGGCCCTTTTACTGCTCTGCTATCTGCCTGTAACTGTAATTTAGTCATTTGATTTATTTTACTTTAACCTGGGAAAGACAGTGTGTGCAAAGTTTTTATTATCATTATTTCAGTTTGTTGCTCTGTTTGAAGGTCTGCACAGCGGAAAACTACTGTATGCCTATCAGACAGAAGGGGGTCCGGGTGGTCTCATGAGGAAAGACATGACGTAAAAATGGCAATGCAGAAGTAGCGGACGTAGCACCAGAGTCTGCTAAACGATGCTTTAACGATGCCGCTATGTGTAGTTCGACGGAGTGCCAATATCTACAAAGAGCGAAAATGAACGTACTTGTGAAACATAATGCAGAAGTTGACTGCACAGTGATCACACTGCTTGTGAGCAGAGGTGAATTTTACGGATAATATCCTGCTGCTTTGTCAAATCTGCTCAGAGGCGCTGCTTGTCAACAGGCAAGGCATGCAAGAGCTTGGGGCCCAAGGTCAGGCGGAGTCCCCCTTAGGGCTTATGAACCTTCAACCACAGGAATGGCTCAAAATGTGTTTGCAATGACAGTAGGATACCTGCTTCAGGGGTCCACTCCCTCTCGTTGTGCTGCAAAAACAGTTCACATTTATTTGTGTTGTTTAATTTATGACATAATAGTGATGGATGCTTGTTGGGGGGGGGGGGGGGGCTGTACATTTTTTGCCTAGGGCCCTAACAGACTCTAGAATTGCCACTGAATCCACTCACTCAAACTTCATGTGCATCCCTAGGAGGCTGGCAGGAGAAACTCCAGCTAAAATCCGACTGATAAATCAGTTTGTTTGTGTTCACACATGCAGCTCTTCGGGAGGTTTCAGGAGTTTTGTTTAAGTGTGAACAAGGCTTATGAATTTATGCAGTTCCGTGTTAGTTAAGAAAGTTTAACCAAATCGTTGCACCTACTTGAGCAGGGGTTTGTCCAGTGTTGGTGACGGGGTGAAGGCACTGAGGCAGCAGGTGAGCAGCAGCCAGCCCCTCAGACCGCCCTGATCCTCCTGCAGGCCCCACGTGTAGTAGGCCAGCTGGGCCAGGATCTCGTCCCTCAAGGCCGGCCTGCTCTGTCCCTTCTCCACAATGTAGTTACCCAGCATCTGTTCTTGCCATCTGCTGAGGTCGGACTCACCTGTAAACCGCAAGATCTGAGGAGAAACGGGAAAAACATTCACTGCATGTGCTAAACCAACGAGAATAAAAAAAAAAACTCAATGGAATCAATCAGTGTCATCTACCAGTTTGTAAATCTCCAGGGCAGTTCTGGCATCTTCGGGTTCCAGAGCGGTGAGGGGTCTCTGGAGGGGGTGTCCCTTAGGCTGGCACCACGTGTCCTACAACATGAGGAAACTCTCAAAGATTAGAAATAAAATCCCTTCCCTTTGACTCTCTGCTAGTGTCTTCAGCCGATTCTTTGCAAACTGTAAGCATGTGGAGCATAAACGTGTATCCAGCTGTTACCATGACGACTATAGGCCGTGGTTAAAAGGCCACTTTGGAGAGGGTCACTTATGACATGCTAATTCAGATATGTTTGTAAGGTTACAAACTGATAAAGCGTCAACTCTTGGCATAAGATAGATTTTTTTATTTATTTATATCAAACCTGAGACAAAACTTGGATTAGATGATTTTCTGCAGCTGGTAAAGCTGCTAAACACGAGACAACGATGACACCAATAACGATACAGGCTAATGCATGGTCACTCTCTCTTTTATCCCGTCATCATCCGCCGTTTTATCAAACAGTACAGAGACGAGCTAACAGTCTTCTTTTTATAACTGAAGGATGCTGTGTGACCTATAGTGCCTTAAAGCCGTACACACTTCCCGGGAGATGCCAAAGTTACATGCTGCAGTAAACAGGCGATCAGGCAGTGTTGTGGACCATGAGAGAGAGGCCATTCTCGCTGTTATTGTGCTATTAAATCGATTTTTTAAAACTACTGTTTAAAGGTGGAAAAGTTACATAGTGTTGCTTTAACAATATAGACAGAAAATATGTCAAATAAAAAGGACCATTGTTTAAAAATACCAGAATTACCCTTGAAAAAGTTAGACTTAAAATGAGAGTCACAACGGAAAGACTATCAAGTTTTCTTCTTATCTCAACAACAAATTTGTTCTTTTATTTGGGTGGCTATTGGTCGAGTTGGTCGTCTCTCAACCGGAAGGTCGGGGGTTCGATCCCCAGCTCCTGCAGCAACATGTCTGATTTGTCTTTGGGCAAGACACCGCAAGCTTTCCCGCTGCTTTGGCGGCGCCGCATGAATGTGTATGAATTGGATTAGTTACTTCTGATTCATTTTATAGTTCACTTATCAGTAAGTGAATGTGTAGGTGTGACCTGCGGTGATATAATAATGTACAGTGTAACAAACCAGGACTTGATTAAAAGTTTAAGTGTGTATTTGTTCTTGTGCTCACCTTGAGTATGGACTTGGCATAGCGAGAGAACGGGTATCTGTTTATATCCCGAGGCAGAGTGAGCCTGTGTTCTGCCTTCACCTGTGGAGGTCCCACCACTGTGACTCCTGACCTGGGCTGCCTCCCTGCTGGACAGAGACGGAACAACAATCACAAACATGACGACGCGGTGAAACAGCGTTGTGCACGTTGATTTCTCTTAATGTGTTTGTTATGAAGCTGACCTGCTGCACTGTGAAGTCTGGCTGACAGCTCAGCGGGGATCTCCAACATCCCCACATCCTGACAGGAAAAACAAGATGAAGAGATCGTTTAAAAAAAATCCTCTTTTGATGAAACAGAAACAGAAAGCTCTTTTACGCCCTTACCATTCCTGGAGAAACAGATTTTTTCTTTGTCACTGCCTTTACTTTGTTCTTCTCATGAAATTCCTGAAATTAACACACACAAAGAAACAGTTTGTCAGTCTTGTGCTTCTCCTCAGGTGAGTTATCAGCCTTTTATCCATGTTCATGAACAACACTCTATCACCTGCCAAAGCAATGTGTTCAATCTGACCTATTCTTAGACACATATCCAGTTTTATACTCCGGTAACACCCACTGTCCAGAAGCCCCACCTTGTTCATTACAACAGTTCCAAGAGTCCAAAGATTTTTTTTTATCAGGACGTTTACAGCTTCCAGAGGGGCGGAAACTCCCTGCTTAAGGGCAGCAGCACTCAAATATGATAACATCAATGTTCACCATAACATGTGAGTATGTTTGTCAATAAGTACACAACTAGTATAAATGTTTTCCATAATCTGTTGTTTGATCAGCTTAATATGATGGCCGACAGGTGCAAGCTCTGAGCAAAGACTGAAACTACTTACATTGACAAAAACGTGCAGCAAATTAAAGGAGCATCATATAACTCGGACTCCTAGTGTTTAAAATGGGTACTGCAGGGCAAATTCAAAACATTGTAGAGAGCTGTCTCCCCCCGTCACCTCCTCTCTAGAGTCCATGCTCACGCAGGTTGCCATGTGGTGGACACTGAAGCTTCAGTGTTTAGCCAGCTCTGCATCGGTCTGTAAACCTTTCTGTGTTCTAACCTCTCTCCATTTTTCAAAAGCATCTCCAATATTGAGCCTAGTTTGAGCACGTTTCTGCTCGTGGAGCTTATTAGAAACATGCAGAGGCTTTTTAGGTCGGGTACAATCACTTCTATCTGAACCAGTTCTCTTGCCCGCTTCCATCGCTGCAACACCTGTTGGTTTGACCTGATAACTGGAATCATATCTGGCAAACCGAGGGGCGTCCAAAACGGCTTTGTGGGGGTGCCTTAAAACCGCCTACCTTCTCTGGTCCAAACAAATCCAGAGCATTCAGGACCAGAATCTAAAGTTAGAAGGAGGACATACTGGCTGCTGCATTGTTGTCAGAGAAGCCAGTACTTGTTTACATGTTTCCTTAAAGTCTGATCGCATAGTAAGGTCACTTTATTATTTCACTCACTACACATCTTACTGATTGGACCTTTAAATATTGCTGCAAATTCAGAATCAAATGCAATAGCTGAAATGCAGCCCATATTAAACAAACATGCCGCAAAAAGCTGAAAGAACTCCATTACCATTAAATGTACTGCAAATACAAAAACACAAACAGAAACAACAATGTAAATCGTTTCAGCCTTTGCCAGGCACTTGCACTTATCAGCCACCATTGATTCAACATGGGTGTGCACACATATTTATGCAGCAAATACTTTTCTTTTATATAGTTCTTGCCCCACTTCAATAATCAAAGCTATCAAAAAAGTCAAGAGAATGGATCTCTACATTTGCACAGGCAGCCAAACCCTGCTCCACCTTCACATGTGAGGATTTTTGATGACCGACTGTGCAAAAGCAAACAATGTGTCACAGATCGAATCACATTAAAACACACCCTCATACTCATAATCGCTCTTCAATTCTACTCAGTTTAATATTATTTTATGATTTAAGGCAGTTTTTAAACTTTTGAAGAACACTTCCCCTAAAAATGGTCACGTTTATCGTAATTAAAAACTTTCTGTGACTCAAATCTCCTGACTTCAGTGTTGGTTTCAGAGCATTTTCCATCAGAGCACAAATAGCAGAGGTTTAAAAATTATTTATATGTTTGGACATTTAGAAATTAAAGAGAAACTTTATATTTGGGGTTGTTGAACCATCTCTTGGAAAACTTTCAAGTCCCTTCAGTCCAAACTTGCTTTAAGATTCTGCTGTCTCTTTACTTTTCCCGAACATTGGATGCCCTAAGATCCTCTGGCTCTTCTCTTTTAGTTCAGGAACCAGAACGGCCCCTCAGATCCTGCGTGTCCTTTAGTTTATGAATCAGGACCCCCCTCAAATCCTCCGGCTCTGAATTAAAGTCATTTGTTCTTTTAGAAAGAGGCATTTTCCTTCTAATCACTGTAATGACGTGGGGAGTCCGCCCAGTCTGAGACCGAGACAAGACCAAGTAAATATGCCTTCGATTCAGAGACCAGACAGAGACATATCAAAAGTGGTCTCGAGACCTTTTCCAGTACTACTACAAGCAATTTTTCAATTTAAAAGACAACAACAGCAAAGCAGCATTATTGTCACACATTCAGACATGTTCAGGTCATGACCTAAGTTGTACATTATTCAAAGGGGGTCTTTTTACAGAAATTCATACTTTGCATGGTAGTCAGAGCAGACAGCCGAACGGAGGTAAAGGAAGTTTAAAGCAGTTAGAATGAGTGGAGCAAACCCCACATGGGGGAGGGGTTACTGTCCTTTGTGATGTCATGAAGGAAAAATCTCCCATCGCACACATTTTCTGAAAAGTGGAGCAGGAAAAAGACGGAGAGGATGGACTTTTCTCATAATCAGGTTTTTTTTTTAGACAGACTAGGGACACATATTAGTGTTAGAGAAACATGGTGAAGTACATTTTGAATTATGTGTGACCTTCAATAAGTTAATCTTTGAATTTTGTCCACGATAACTATAAAAAAAATAATATATATTATATATATATAATATATAATGCCGTTTGTGTTTTGTTCACTCTTGATGTTTTAAAACTATAAAGGTTTGTGCTGATTTTTCAGCTACTTTAGAACAAGCTGCATGTTTAAGCAGGCTCCCACGGTCCCCAGAGGATGAATAACTTGTCTTTTGTAACCCCCTGATTTTGATAATTTTGATGATATTAAATATGTAATGATCTACTTCAAACTCAAGAGAATATGCCAGTGATTTATTACTCAACTTTAAAAGATGAAAAAGGATGGTCTATATCTAAGAAGCAGAAGCAGAGGTATCCACATGTTTAGTCACTTTTCTCTGAAAACCATAATCAAGCTCGATATCTTATCTCAGACTCTCTGACAGGTTAATGACAACACCTTCAAAACTCCACCTACACAGAATACAATCCAGGATAACTGACATCACCATGACATCACTGGGATGTTACACAACTGTCAACAACATAACTGTAGAAAACACAAATTTGAATTTAAAGTAAATATTGTGCTTCAAATTTAAAGTGTGTTTGTTTTGTACAGAGACATTGTGCACCAATTGATAGACTCTCCAGGTCACCCCATTATTTAAAGCAACAATACGTAGGAATTTGGTTGGGTGCTGTTCGGCGCCCACTGAAGGTATCTAAGTGCAACTGCACTGTCGTAAGACACACAGAGCTGTTTTGCCTCCCCGTCTTAGACAACATGCATTTGCATACAAGCAGAGGGTGGAGAAGTCGGCAAAGACGCGTAATGAGAAACTTAACAATCATGTCGACTGACAAGCTTCAGTTTTATTACTGCATTTTAGGCAGATCTGACTCTGCTAATGTCTACAGCCCGTTGTTTACAAACTGTTAGCATGTGGAGTATGTGTTCATCCAATCATCTGTTACCATGACGTCCATCTAACTTGGGTTAGACGACTTTCTTCAGTAAAGCTGCGAAACATGAGACAACGATGACTGTGATAACGACACAGCCTAACGTTCAGTCTCAATCTGTTCTGAAAAATTCTCGCGCTGTCACTCTCTCTCTTTCTCTTCTTAGCTTCATCCGTCACCGTCCTCCTCTTCCTCTTAGCCTCAGCCATTTTATCAAATTGTTCTTATTTGAATCGACTTTTATTGTATTAAGGTTTCGTTATCCTAGTTTATATTCATAAATCTTGGAATTAAATTATTTGTTATTTCAGGCAAACAGTGATTTTGAATCAGATCCATAATAAAGATATATTTTAGGTTAAACACCATGAATTCAATTTAGGTAGAAGAGGCTGCCCTACTGATTTAAGTTTTGGTCACATATGTATCATTAAGCCCAAATCTTCTAACCTGGTTTTATTTTCTGCCACATCTTGTTACCTTACATTTCATATTGTGAGCTACAGGTTATGATGAGTCCAACCCGACTGTAACAGCTGACACAGGCAGCATATGAGCAGCTGTTCATAGTCCAAGCTATAAAATAATAACACAACATACTCAAGACAGTAGCACAATTGCAGCTAAAGGATCAACAGAAAATAACAAAAGAGCCATCAGTTATGTTTTCAGCTACGGTGAGAAAGATGAGCTCAAACAGCAGACACAGCAGCTTAAAGGAGTCTGTTTACACTGTTTTGAAACCTTATAAAGACTTTTACACTCGCCGGGTCCCCGCTATATTTTACTGAGTATCATAACAAGTAGAGTTGAAGCAGATCTGATGAATAAGGTCAAAAGAAAAAGTAGCAGCGTACCTGTGAGAGCAGTGTACCTGTGAGAGCAGTGTACCTGTGAGAGCAGCGTACCTGTGAGAGCAGCGTACCTGTGAGAGCAGCGTACCTGTGAGAGGTTTCAGGAGGCGGAAGAAGAGATGCAATGCTGCTTCAAATTTCACTCAGAGGTTGAAGTCCAAGACTGGGGAGTAGGCAGGGTGTGTGTGTGTGTGTGTGTGTGTGTGTGTGTGTGTGTGTGTGTGTGTGTGTGTGTGTGTGTGTGTGTGTGTTTGCCCAAGTGTCATGATTACAAGATAAGAAAGGCAGTTAAAGGGAAGAGATGTGATTTTATGAGGCTGTAATATTGTTCAGGAAGTTTGTTGTCGATGCTGAAATATTTGCGAGAAATAACACACCCAGTGGATCTTAAAGTGGCTCTTATTTATCAGTTATTAATTAACCTCTACGTGCTTTATAATACTGAGTTAATATTGTATTACAGGATTGCTGCGAAACATTCCAGGCTCTGCATAATTCTTCAGTTTTTTTTGGACCTTCTTGGCTTTTATCACCACCATCAGACTGTGTCGTCCCCACAACCACCACCGTCCTCACTCATGCGGCAAGGGAAGTGTGGACAACAGGAATGCGAGGAATACAAAGGAGAAATCATTCCTGTATATTACCCCATCTCCCCCTTTCCCATTTGTCTTTTGTTACATAACAACGAGTAAGGTCTTTACCCGATCTTTTGTGTCTTTGAGATAACACTTGTTATGAGGCGCTATACAAATAATGAGCCAAAGAGCCAAAGAGCCAAAGTCGTATTCGACCCCAAGTCTGCTGCGACAAGGACCACAGCCTCTGTACACGGGGGCACACGGTGTAACCGCTGGGCTATCCAGCGTCCCTGTGGATTTCTTTTCAATGTTGCATTCCTGGTCAGGATTTAAAAGACAGTTTGTATCATGAAGAGGAAAAAGAGCTCCAGCAACACTTGTAGTATGAAGATTAACTTGATGAACTTTAGTTAAGGCCACAAGATGAAACGCGTCGGTCTAATGAAGTTGATAAAGGTGAAAATAGAAAGTGTTGCTCTTCAAGCCTTTCACTCTCCGTGCACGTTGGTATACAGTTGGAGAAGTTGTGCCAAAAAAACCAGACTCTGCATCTTGAGAGTTTGTATCAAAAAAGGAAAATTCCTGACCCCGAACATAAATGATCAGTCTTCATCACTAAAAGGGCTTGCCTATACTGTGTCTGTTATCTCTCATATGATGTTGTGTTCAGCTGCTGCTACAAGTGCACATTCAGATTTATAGCACAATAAAATCAGCGCCACTGACTCGGCAGGCTCGCTCGCTCTCATTCATACCTACCTTCCTCCAATGGCGTCTCTTGATAGTGTCCCTGGTGATCATCATCACCGCCCAGAACTGAGTGAAGGACTGCCTCAGACGCTTGTAGTACTTCCTAAAAGAAGACAGGGGGCAGCAACACACAAACACAAACACCCCGTGTTAGTGTATATCTGTGACCTCACCTCTATTTCTGCTCACTATCTGCTTCATACTTTATACTGCAGCGTCATTTTAATGTTCCTCTCCTCTCTGCTCCTTTTGCTCTTTGTACCTGGCCTGATGTTCCTCTCCTCTCTGCTCTTTTTGCTCTCTGTACCTGGCCTGATGTCCTCTCCTCTTTGCTCTTTTTGCTCTCTGTACCTGGCCTGATGTTCCTCTCCTCTCTGCTCTTTTTGCTCTCTGTACCTGGCCTGATGTTCCTCTCCTCTCTGCTCTTTTTGCTCTCTGTACCTGGCCTGATGCCCTCTCCTCTTTGCTCTTTTTGCTCTCTGTACCTGGCCTGATGTTCCTCTCCTCTTTGCTCTTTTTGCTCTCTGTACCTGGCCTGATGTTCCTCTCCTCTCTGCTCTTTTTGCTCTCTGTACCTGGCCTGATGTCCTCTGATGTGGCTCTGGATGACGATAGCTTTCTGCTTGAAGAACTTGAAGTTCCTCCTGCAGATGAAGCCTCTGATGTTCCTCTGGATGGTGATGGCAGCCCAGGTCTGTGTGCTGCTCCACTTCTCCTCCAGCTGCTGGAACAGAAGCTCCTTCAGGAACACCTGACACAGGTACACACACATGTAACCAATCATGTTGATATTTACAAAATCATGAAAAGACAGTGAGACACCTTTGTGAGTCCCATCTGGTAGTGTCCGTCCTCTGCACCAACCGCGTCCAGGAGAGCGACCGTCTGCTCTCTGTCTGACACTTCATCGACCCGCTGTGGCAGGAGAACGCCATATCTGTGAATAAAAACAAACATTTTCCAGCTACTCAGGGGGTTCTTAACCAAAGCATCTTTTTTTTTAGTGTAAACAGAGGAGAGAAGGAATTGTGGGTCATAAACCTTGCATGTCTCATAATGACCACGAAAAACCAAATAAAATGACCTTCTTTGTGACCTATAAAGATAGCTTAACCACTCTGTACATGAAATGGACTTGAGCTTGTAGCTTTTCCAGTCTTCTGACTACTCAAACACCGCAGGTCACACCTACACATTCCATGCAAAGTGTCCATCAGTATTAACTAATCCATTCATACACATTCATATGCCACCAATGAAGCAGCGGGAGCAACCTGGGATTAAGTATCTTGCCCAAGGACGCATCAGACTCCTGACCCCTGACCCTCCAGTTGAGCATTAAATGTTAATAGGACAAACAATAATTTTTTTCAGGAGAAGGCTTTCAGGATAACGAGATAAATAGATACAGAATTCAAAAATCACTACATGCTTTTGAAATACAATGCAGTTTTAAGAGCACCACTCACACACAAAATAATGTATGGACACAAATACATCGTATGACTCGCTCTGACCATATGATCAGTTTTTTTTTCTTGAGTTGCTAGTCCGACTCTAAACAACTCAAAAAACAAAGTATTTGCCCAGATATTATCTATCCGTCATCCAAATGAACACAGACAAAATCAAAAGCCCCCCCACAGTGTCCAATCCTTTCTAGAGGCTTAATTATCATCAGGCTACATAGCAAATTGGTTTTGAAAGATTAACTTCACCTGCCATGGATCAGTACTGAACACCTCTCAACAACGCAGCAACAGGTGAAAAGGATGAGGGTGAGGAGGGGGTTAAAGTGCAAGAGGCATGCGAAACATGGTACAGGCTCAGTATGTTTCAGCACCTCTCTACAAAGTACGAGTACTGTATGCGGGTGGGGAATCCCTCTTTCCTGATGTGGATGGTCTCCAGCATCCCAGCATGCCTCAGCTGGGCCGACATGTAGTCTACGTCAAAGAGCCCAGGGAGCTGGAAGAGGACACGAGAGATACAGTGCGTGGTTCAACATTGGGATCTGATGTAAGGAGACTAATTATCAACAGTGCTAACTGTTATCTGGGGTTACCTTGACATAGTTTGGCTTCAGACAACGAATAAAAGTGGTTTTGCATCTGAGGGTTGAAGGAAAATGTATTAGCACAAGTGATTTATCAAGAAAGTGTAACTTTAAAACCTTTAGATGGAGAAAAGCTTCTTAGAGCTGCCTTAGAGCTGAAATAATATATCTAAAGAGATCCAAAGACAGGCGGGGAAATGTAACTTGTGTGTTCTGTGAGGTAAATTTACTGTTTTTGTCAATGGACTGGAGAGAGAGCGATATAACAGCACTTCCTGGTTAAAAAGAGATATTCTTAACAGAAAGATGAAGGGGGATAAATAAGCATTCTTTGTGGATGCACTTTGACCGGGTACATTTTTTCTCAAGGGATTATGTTGCAGCCATAATGGACAAACTTTCCGGCGGGGAGATTCCATAAATGGTTCAAAAGGGATAATATAAATAGAAAATATAAAAAATGGGCCTCATCTTCAATATTCCCTCACTGATGATTTATGGAAAGAATCTTGAACAACTTTGACAGATGGCATATTTCGTTCCACGACGTTTACTGAAACCTTACTCTCCACAAACACAACACCCCAGTGAGATTTTAAATGTATTCAGTGAAACGCTTTTCCTCATGTTGGCTTTCACGCTGATTTGCAGCTTTGGTTACAGTCAGTCTGGGCTGTATGTTGGTACCTCTCCAGACGAGTGGTGAGTTCAGACAGGGACTGAAGGAAGTGTGAGGCAGCTGTAGACGGCTGCTGTCGGAGGCCTTTCCCTCTCCAGCCGAGCTCTCTCTGCTGAATGTAACCATCCTGAACCTTCCTGAACAGCTCCGACACCATCTGAAAGACACAACACTTTTTTTTATCAGTAAACAAAATGATCTATGAACTATAGACCTCAGGAACTTATTCATAGTTCTAGGAAATGTTGGAACCCTGCCCCAGCCTCTAGGGGCAGTGCTCAGTTTGGTTTGGTCATTAAATAAATCTGATTGATTCAAAAATATCGACTAGACTGTAATGGACAAAGCTTGAGTGACATCACCCATCTGTTGGGGTCTCGATGCTGGAAATGCTGTCTCACCCTAACTTGCAGTCACCCTGACCACAGGCTGAGAGCTGGAGCCTAAGCAGGTTTTAAGCCTCCTGACAAACCGTTACACCGCGCCCTCCTGTCAATCAGGTCAGCTACACGCCTTTTTGTGAATAACTCTTATCCTTCATCAAATCAAAACGGATTAGTTACAAAAAAACCCGTACAGTGTGTGCCGATCGAAACATGAGCAAATCAGACTTATTTCGTTTTTGAACCAGGCTGTAAACATGTTAATTTATGCTGTAAAAACTGGCTTTTTTGAATGGGTGACTTCCTGTGCTTCTGCAGACAGCCTCAAGCAGACAATACACGAACTGCAGGTTTTAGAACTTTTGTGATGGCTTCATTTTTTAACACCGGAGGTGGCCACTTGGTTCAGACCAGTTGAGAACCACTGGTATAGAGCAGTGGTTCTCAACTGGTCTATCCTAAGGACCCACCACCAACTACTTCATGAAAATTGTGACCCAAATTTCTTGATATTTATTCAACCAATCAGATTAATTAAATTTAATACAGTTCAGACCTCAGATTGGACAAAATCAATTCAATTTACAGTCACATGTTCGCGGCCCACTGAAAACACTTTTGGGTCCCGACCCACCAGTTGAGAACCACTGGTTTAGAGGAACCGTTATGGCTCTTGCTTCGGAGTAGGTACTCTCCCAGCACCATGGCGCTGTGAAGGCAGACAGTGTGAAGTTCTCAGGAAACTCCCTAGTGGATATTTCCTCTTCAAAAAGTCCCCAGAACAGTTTTGTCCGAAAACTCCTCATGATTTCTGTTTGGAGTAACTTTTGTTATTTTTTCTGTCCAACACCAAAATGATGCGTCAAAGACATGATATAAAGAATTTGCTATGAGAACTACACAACAATCTTTTTTTGTTATACTGTAGGTGAGTGCAATATAAATGCTTTATGAGAATGCTCAGCAATCTGACAATAAAGAAAAATAAGCAATTGAAAATTTACTTACAGAGTTCAGAAGGTAATCCTTCATGGATTCAAATTTTACTCGAGTTAATCACCTTTGTTCACGTCCAATTGTCTTTTATAATGTATTGGTTTTACTCAGTTTATCTTATTTACACTTTACGTGTTCACATTTGAATCCGAGTCTTATATTTTTTATTTCATCATCGATCCCTCCACCTTGGTTGGCTGTTTACCTTTCTTGTGTCTTGTTAGTCTGATTGTTTTTTCAGTTACCTATGAACCAATCGGAGCGTTTTATGCTTTGTGACAATTATGTGATCAAACTATCTTGTTCAAGGCATGTCTGTAAGCATTTTGGCAATTGAGGAGACCTATTTCTGTAATTTTTAAAGTTAAATGTTTTCCCATTCTTGCTTAATGTTGGATTTCAGTTGCTCGGCTGTTCTTATGTATTTTGTCATGTTTACATTTCACAACATTTTGGTAATTGGTGACAAGTCGAGAATGCAGGCGGGCCAGTTTATCACTCAGACTTTCACATTTCACAACTTCTCCTGTCTTTTTTTACCCTGTCCAAACTTTTTTTTAACTGTGGCTGTAGTGGAAATTTTGTTTTGCTATACATTTTAATCAGGCTTATATCAGCAGAAGCCTAATATGGATCCTATACCAGCTGGTTCACCTTTAACCGACTCCTGGCAAAAAGCTCCAACACTTCTGTCCTGAACTGGTCGTGGTTCTTATTCAGGAAATTATGAACCTAGAAGAGAGATTTTTTTTTACATATATATGTTGGTGCTGCACAGGCTGCTGTGTTGAATCTGCTTTAAAAATCAGTGTGCAGTGCTTGATACCTGATAAGTGACAGCTCCAGCGTAATGATAGATAGTAAAGACTGGCAGTGGGTTCTTGGGCTTGGCATAGAAGGGGCTGTTCCCATGGTGATAGTGGCACTTCTGGAGGAAAGTGTGGTCTGTGGCCTAATAAAATGAAACACCAAAACAGTACCAAAAACACATTGTTTTAGTTAGCTTTTGAATATATTACACTCCTCCATACTGATTCAGATTTAGTACAAAATGTAAGTCCTGTGTTAAAACATCTCAGAATAAATGTTAAAATGTTGGTTAATCAATTGCTTTCAACATTTTGAAACAAGCCATACTTAACAGGCAGGTATCCATACATTTTGTTTTACTCTGATTTCCCTCTCCCGCTCTCGAGATCTTGAGAAATTAACTTGTTAATCCAGTGTTCTTCTCCATAGATAAGATAAAGTTAACTTGTTATCTCGAAAAAAAAGATTAAAATAAAAAGTATGGATGTATTTCTACTAAGGGCTTCTTTACATACTTTGATAAAAGGAAATCAATATTTTTAAATATAGTGTATTTACTGTGCGTTTCATTTTGTTTAATAAAATATATCGAATGTGAGAAAAAAATAGAATTTCCTGCAAGACATTGTTACTTTCCCCTATTGGCCATTCTTTAAATCATGCTTTGTTAGTTATGCCTGAAACCCACTTTTAATATTTTTTTATCTTAAGCCAAACGGAGAGCAGCAGTTGTGTGATGTGTTAAAGTCCATATTCATTACTGCCCCTAGAGGCTGGGACAGGGACTTGATTCATTCTGACCCTCAGGAATAAGACCTGAGGGTCAGAGTTAGACCTGGGGCAACCACTTCTAAACTGTAACCTCTGCACACAGGGCGCACAACCAATTTTTAGGCTAATGTTTTGGAAGTCCTCTCCCAGCTGCCTTAAAGAAAAACTACATTTAGAGTTTGAATTTCGGATAAGACCTTAAAAGCTACATTGATTTCCTTTATTTTTATTTTTGAGATCACTAGAACAATAGAATGATATGAAGAGCAATGGACTGCTGCGTCTGACTGCTCCACCGTCTTGACATTAGGGCCACTAGTGTATCCCTGATGGTCAGGTTACATATAGTATAGAGGTGTATATGTGTGTTTGTACCTGGGGGAGGCAGGTCTGGTCGTCCAGTATTCGTAGGATGCCGTGTGGTCTGGAGGAGATCAGGTCCAGGCAGGAGTGGAAGTTTTTGAGTGGCATTGGGTACCACTGGATCTGTTCTGCACTGTACTCCTCCTAAAATACACACAAACATAAAATAAGATTATAGACTACACTCGGTGTCAGCATAAAGGGATATCTTGCAGGTGCTAGAGAGCTCAACAGTGGGGTTTCTGAAGTAAAAATCCCATTCATTTATTTCACAGTGGATTTGATCTTTAACCATAACATCATAACCACACAAGGTAGACTTACCACAAACTACCTGAATTTGAGTATATATATATACATATATATATATATATATATATATGCTCCTGTGAAAGGCCTTGAAAAGCATGGATTAATCGAACTACACTACCCACAATCCGAGTGTATCACAGTGACATCTCTGATTGGTGGAGCCTGCTGTTATTCATGGAAATGTTAACTGACTCCACAAATTTCAGCTGTCTGGTGATATCGCTGACATTTAATTGAAGTTCAACCCACTATACAGTATACACACAAACTACAATACATCAAAACATTATAAAGTAGAAATTAGGTCCATGTACATTCAGAAAAAAGCATGCTAAACCATCGTTTGTTTGGTCTCATTGGAATCGCAATGGATTGTGGGATGTCAAGTTCCTGCCCTCCCGGAAAAAAACAAATATGTACACAGTCTTGTACCTTTGCCTTTTTTCTACGTTTTTTCAATTTGATTTTTTTCTGCACTGAAACCAAAGTTTTTTCGTCAAGAGTAGCTGGTTGTCTTGGTTCTTGGTTCCATTAAAAATATTATGAAGATTTTCTGAAATGTCAATGGAGGATTTGAATGGGGAAATTTAGTTACGGAACCAGAGAAAACTGACAAAGTGGACGGTCACTGTTGAGCTCTCTGTGATTGGGGTCATCTGACATTTTTAAATCGAGTTCATGACCACTGACCTGCTCCTGTGAGATCACTGCTTTGTTGACAAAGTGCTGCAGCTGCTCATTGGCAAAGTTGATACACAGCTGCTCAAAACTGTTCACTGCAAGATCCTAAGAAAGACAAGGATAGTGGGAAAGTACATCCAACAAGCAAGTCGTTACATCTCAGTCTGGACTGAATACCAACCTCAAACCCGTAGATGTCGACTATTCCCACTGTGCTGTCCATCTCTGTGGGACTCAGCCAGTCATTGATCTGCTCGAGCAACCAGTCAAACAGCACTGAATATAAGGCTTTGGCAATAGCATCTCTGCAAAGACGACAAGGAGGAGAGAATGAATATGTACAGTTCAATAAAAAAATATCAAGATTATTTCCGGGCATAACATCTATTGCCATAGAGAGTAGTGCTCAGCCTGTGAAAAGTTACAGAGAATAAAGTATAAAATAAAGGCTTATGTCACCATAATCTGTTTGACAAAGAGCCATCAATATCAAACAATAAATATTTAATTTAGAGAAACTGTGAGGATTTCAGGTTAATGGGATTTTGGTGTTCCGTTAAACAAAGAGTGTAGTGAAATCCTCTTTAAAGCAACGGTAATCCTAATCCTTTAAAGTCTGTATAATGGTCGGGTTGATCCAATCCAGTTTTTTTTTTCTATTGGAGGTATCCCATGTTCTTCCAGCTGGCACAACCAGAACATCACGAGTTAATAACATAGTTCCTCTATGCCTGGAAACTCTGAGGGATCACAGACGAGCAAGAGGAAGATTTTGGAAAATTACATATGGTCTGCCTTCCTTCAGCTGCTTCATACACTTCAAACATAACATAACACAAGGGACCAATGATAAATGTCAGAAAATGGGTTGATGAACACATTTAACATTTTTTAAGGGTTTTTGGGGGTCTTTTTGGCCTTTTAATTTACAGGATCGAGTAAGAGAGACAGGAAATAAGGGGGAGAGAGAGTGGGGGACGATATGACCAAACAGTGTCAGGATTGGGTGTAACAAGAACCAATATGACAAGGACAATTGTCTCTGTACAAGGGATGCCTGCACCAACTAAACTAAACTGGTGCCCTACGAAAAAAACAATGCACAAAATTCAAATTTTGGTTTGAGAGACTAATTGACTGCATCCCGCTCCCACAAAGGTTAGAGAAAATTGTCTTACCTAGATTCTATGGCACTTTCCACAGACAGAGGGCAGTAGATCCTGTCATAAGTTGTCTCCTGTTGACAAAAAAAGATGCAAATGTTTGCACATTTGAATATATATAATACCAACTAAGAGGCATGACAGGTGCATTACAGGCCACTTACTGTTACTCTGTGGGTGATGACAGTCTGTAGGGCCTCTGAGGAAATCTGCAACAAGGAGCCAACCCTCCTTGCCTCGGCCTCACTGAAGATACGAGCCACCTCAAACGATTCGCTCTGATGCACAAACAACAACTGAGGTATGATATCAATGTCAGATTGAATTCCCACTACTACTGCTGTACACACACCTCATAGGAGCTGAAGCACATGTTGCCGAGCTGCAGGATAGAAGAGAGTATGGCCCAGACAGTAGAGATATGGTCGGCATGCAGACCGATGGTCTCAAAGCACTGAACCAAAAGCTGGAAGTCCTGCTTGTCCTGCTTCCCCTTCAATTCACAAGCACCACCCTAGAGAAGGAAAGAGAACAAATACAGTTTTTAAACTTATAATGAACAAAAAACAGACATTGAGAATATTTCTGTGTTCATTGATGTATGCTGTACTTGGTTCAGGTAGTAATAGGTCTCGGCTCCTTGCAGGTAGAGCTCCTGTTTGTCGTAGTCATTCAGACCTGCCAGCAGCTCATAAAACACATGGTAGTTCCTCTCTTCATTGGCCTAAGAGAAACATTTGCAGGAAAATCTAATTAGTTCATGACTGTATAAGAGCCCAAATTGAGCCAGACAGGTCTGAATAAAAACAAGTCAGAATATCAATCACATTAGCAATGATTTGAAACGAGTCTTGGGGAACATCTGATTTCAAGGAAGCATAGGAGGCTCTATTAAAAAAAGAGTAGCTTGGTGCAGCAAAAAAAAAAAAAAAAATACATGAATGTGAACTAGTTTTTTGGGCTGTGGACGTCATTCAAATTTTAAAATGATGTACTATGAGCATGCACCAGTTTTTAAACTAAGTAAACTGAACTTTGAGCTAGCTCTTTTAAAGTGTGATCTTTCACAACACTGTAAACCCAAGTGGATGACACTCCAACCAATGAACAACACATTTCCATCCCCACATTTGAAATGCCAACCCTTCTTATCAATAATTTTCAAAGAGGCCAAACCACTCAACCAGGAAAGGTGCTTGAGACATCTTTCTACAATCAATCCCGTGCAATCAGGTGATCTTATAGACTAATTTGGACTCCACGGTGTCTGGAGACAGCATACCTCACTCAGTGTTCTCACCTGAAAGACAAGCCTGGACTTCTCAAGGAGGTACTTCGACAAAGACGTCCCAACAACAACCCCACTGTCAACCAAGATGAGAGAGTCAACCAATAAACCAGCTGTCACCAATCTCATCAGAGGGAGCATCAAGGAATAACATTTTCTAAAAAGGGTAACACATAGTGGACTCACTGGAGAATGTGGATATGGAGGTACTTGCCAAAGCGGCTGGAGTTGTCGTTGAGGATGGTCTTGGCATTCCCAAAACTCTCCAGGATTGGAAAGACTTCCATAGGCTGGAAAAGGTGGAGAAAGAAAGAAGTGAATCAAAGATGAAAAGAAAAGGAGGACTAGAAAGTACATGTCTCTCACACTAAATTATTCATCAAACCTTTAAGAACATGAAGGACTGTGTTTGTTTGTGTTTCCTCAATGAGTTACCTGTCTCAGGTTGTCATTTATTCCCTGATACATGGAGCTTAGATAGTGGACAATCAGCTTGGTAGCTTCAGTTTTCCCTGAACCACTCTGGCCACTAAACGGGAAATTAGAAAAATACCTTATTATGACAAAAAACATTTGAGTGTGGACTTTTAAAGACTTGATAAGATGATGTAGAGGTGACAGCCCCCCTTGTCATTATGAACCAGGGATGATTTGGTCTGGGTAGGAGCCTTATCGCCAGGTCACCAAGCTTTTAACATGTAGAATGACTTTAAAGTCTACTTTGATGAGCAGATTGGTGATACTATTTAAAGCCTCCTTAAGACTGTGAGAATTTTGCAATCTCATAATTTTATTCAATTGTGTGACACAATTGTGTGACACATTGTGTGACACATATGTCATAATGTTGGGTACGACATGCATGTACACTGTGCGATCAGGTACCTAGTGAATCGTAAGCTGCGAGGCAAGTCATTAATGTCATCAGTGTGCATCAAACTGATTGAGCTGAGGTTGCCATGGCCGTCAGTTGAAAGCCAGCTCTTGCCATAGTGGCGTTCATGTGGGTAGAAAAATTAAGAAAAAGAGAAGGAATAGAAAAATGTGGACATGGTCATGGCGAGGGAAAAGAGACCTACTTGGGACATCCGTGCTGCAAGGAGAGCTTAAGATAAGTCACAATATTGTTAGGATAAACTTCCGACAACTTTGCCATCTGAATGGTCTGATTAGTGCGTAATTTCATGCTGCAGTTCCAATGGTTGGTAGTTGATGTAGATCATAGAAGCATTCGCATTGTGAGATGATCGTCCTAAATTTCTGACACTTTCAGATATTTGTTGCATGCTATCTTTGGTCAGTCATCTTTGATCCTCTTTCATGTGAAATATATCATGCGATGTAGGACCATCATTTTGGTGCCACGACCACAGATATTTTCATGATTGATCATCTTTTGTCTGGAACTGCCAATAATTGTCTGTACCCGGCTTAAGGTCAGTAAAGTCTTGAGCTAAATGCTAATGTTAGCATGCTTATAATTGATGGCCGCTGTGTCTCAATTCAGGGGTATTGTCCGATGAAGGCAGCCTTGTACACGGCTCAGGTTTGGTCTGCAGAGCGTCACCCACTGTCCACCCTTACCCTTTAATGTCCAAGCATCGACCCTGTCACCTTGCAACCTCAACAACTGCAATCGAATTAGCTAACATACTTTACGTCACTTAACTTAACCTATTATTTAAAGATAATTAGAAAATATGAAACTATTTTTAAAATAAGTATTGGTAGCTATTTGATTGAGTTAAAACCAATAACATTTATTCAAGTGTATTATTTAGCTGATTTTGATTCCGCCAGCTTGTTTATATTGGAGCGCAATGAATCTTGGGATATATTGGGCAGTGGAGGATGCACTTTAGGGATTCTTTGTTGGTCAGGGAAAGAAGGACGAACTTTTCGGCCACAATGGACAGAGCTTTGACACATTGCTGTGACATAACCAGTCTTCAAATGTGCTCTCTGAAGGAGGAAGACCCTGAATTTGGAAATAGCTTGGGCCTATGCTGAAGTTCCATTTTAGTGGAAATGGTAAAACACTTGAACTGCCTATAGGAATCATATTTATTGAACTTAAACTAAACACAATTCATTCAACTACTGAGAAAAAGTGGGATTATTTGAGTACCTGATGATAATGCATTGCTCCTCAGTTGAGGCTTGAGACTGACAGAAAGCGACGTCAGCTATGGCATATACGTGCCTGAAGACAAAACAGAACCACATTGTAGTGATGAAAAAATTAGGGGAGTAGATTTCTGAGGAGACCGAAACCTTCAATTGTAATAAAAGTTAGCAGGATATTGAACAGCATATGTTTTCTCACGGGGGGTTTCTCTGCGGCTCTCTGCCCTGGTATTTCAGTCTCAGCTCCTCTGTGTAAATGTTGAGCGGCTTGAAGGGGTTAATGGACAGCAACATGTTTCCAATGTAAGTCTGAAAAACAAAACAACGACAGCCAAAAACAGAATGAACAGCTTTTAGCAAAGGTAACAGGTATTGCTGGTTGTCAGTGATAATGCACTAAAACTAATCTGTAATTATATTTTTCTTATTTTTAACCTTAATAGAAATTTGAATCATATTCTCATGGCGACCATGTTACCATGCTGTTAGCTCAGGTTCAGATGCCTAATTGGTGTTGATTTGTCTTACTTCTATGCTCCTGGTTTAAGTTATATGAACCTTTGAAATCTGTGCAACTGTTTTGATTAATGACAAAGTACACAGATAATGGAAATTATAAATCTGAGCATAATTGGCCAAATTATGACTTCATAGAACACATTAAATTACCCGTTAGCTAGCGCTAATGTTAGCATTCAGCCACTTCCTGGTTAACATTTACATTTGAGAATCACGGATACAAATAGATATTAACGCTCATTTAGAGGGAAATTATTTGAGCACTTGGTTAAACATTAACTGTGCCTTCAAGCTCCACTGTCACATTGCTGTATTATCATGCAGTGTATAAAACGTAATTTTCTTTTCAATGTTTGTACAAGCAATTTGATCATTTGATTAACTAACTTCTTTAGCAGTGTTAACTTTAATGTTACGATTTTGTTTTTTGTTTTGCACACCAAAAATACACAGTTTACAGTGCGTAAGGACAGATGCTGGAGGTCTTACATTTAACAAGATAAACGTGCGCTCAATTTATAAAGAGGTTGTGCAAAATAGAAAGTGTGCTTGGGTTTAGAAAAAAACATCCCTATTTCACCTCCAAAGCTCCAAAGGAAAGAGTCTCAGAGGGGGGAATAAAAAGTTTGAATTTATAGAGGTACAAATATCCACTGGGAAGTGTTTCATTTTTTTTTATATATTTCTGAATCAGCATATTGAAAAAAATAAAATCCCTGATGTATCATATATGATACGAAACAAAACGACATGCAATGTTTTAATTCAAGTCAAACAACATTCATTTGTTGAAGAAAGCCATGAAGAAAACAAGATGAAGGTATCAACATGGCGAGAGCCAGAGCGAGAACTTTAACACAGTTCATGTTGTGTCAGCTGAAGGAGTCAAACATAAAGATGTACATGGACGCAAACAAAATGTGTAACACTGCATGAAGACAACTGATGGGATATTCCCTTCTGACAAGAAATAGGACAAATACATTTTCTTAGGTATAACTATTTGAGATGAAAAGCTTTAATACGCTTGTTCATTTGTTTAGTGGTTGCATGGTATGTGATGTAATAGAATATACTTGGCAAAGGACAGTAGTCCAATCAAAAGGCCTTATCGAGCTTTAACCTCAGCTTGAATGAACTGTGCATGTAAAATTACTAACTGGTGATAGAATAAAATGTGTCTGTATTAACTAAGGGTAATTTGCATTTAAGGTAGGTAAGGTGAGGTAAGTCAGCTTGTTAGCCTCAGTGCTAAAGAGTTACATTGGCCAAGCTTACTCTTCCCTTCCCCCCTGCAGAATTGGTGTGTTTGATGCATGCATCTCGTTTCTGAAGATAAAAGATAAAAATGCCAGTTCCAAGATGGAATATTTTCAACCAAATAACAGAAAGTTTTTACCTGCTTTTAAATTCTTTAGATTATAGGGTGCAGTCAGTGATGAAACTTACATAAATACAGTCACGCTGGAACCTCTTCTTCAGATTCAGAAGCACAGAGCTCTCACAGACTTGTCTGAAAAAAACAAGAAAACAGGTTGAAAAAGAACATATTTATACTGTCCTTCATGTAGTGTTTGAGTGTTTGTGTGTGGACTCACTCCAGCTGAGATAGATCGTCCACTTCGTCCACCTCTACAGCCCTCTGGCCCCCAGAAATCACCACCTGAAAAACATGAGTAGAACAAAAGTAAAAAATAAGGCTCGTCACCCTCCAGTCAGACAGGACCTCGAACCTCAGACAACTGAACCCTTACCTTCTCTATAAACATTCTTCTGCTTTGACTAACGATGATTACATTAGTTATTAGTCTCCTCGAGAGCCCTTCATGGTTTAAGATGTGTTTTGTTTCTGCACTTACCTGCTGCTAATGTTCCCCTCCACTCATAACCTTTTCACAAGTGACCAATCCAGTTGCAGCTGTGGAGCCGTGTGATAGCTGATATACTGCAATCTCATACCAGTGCGCTGTGCTGTGTTGTATGCTCTATTATCAGTACAGACGAGGAAATAAATAAACCAGCAGCAAGTCTTTTATGTCCTTTTGTCTTGTGTGCACAGAGGCAATAAGTGATGGGGCACAGCTGATAAACTGACACTCTGAGCCTTTGCCTTTACACCACCGATGTTTCTGTTGAACTTCAGGTAATGTTCTTCCCTTTGGTGTTGATGTGGTTCATGGAAAATGCAACCTCATAAAGAGGGTGTCATTCTCTCTGTCCATTTTGACAATGTTTCCATTTGTAATGGTATGTTTATTTTACAGAAATGAGGGTCTAGAGAACTATCCATGCATCCATTATCAATACCGCTTGTCCCGTCTGGGGTCGCGATTTGGTTGGAGCCGATTTCATGAGAGGCGGGGTGCACTCTTTACTGGTCGCCAGTCAATCACAGGGACATGTAGAGACAAATAAACTTAAATTCACACCTGCTACAGGCAACTTTAAAATTCACTAATTAACCTTATGAGAACACCTAAGGTCTGTGGAGGGAAGCCAGAGGGAACCCACACATGCACAGGAAGAACATGCAAACTCCTCACAGAGTCACTGTACGACAGGGGATTTGATCAAGGAACCTTCTTGCTGGGAATTAAGGAGACAGAAAGTTAATTAACATAGATCCTGTCCAATCCTGTTGGCATGTCTGAAGATTTTAATAATTTACGAGGATACGCTTTTGTACCTCCTGGAAATGTTCACCACAGCACGGTGTAACTTCAACCAACTATCAAGATATTTCATACAGTCTGACACCCTGAAGCCGGCTGTTTGTGCCGCTACGCGTTGGTTGCTACCCAGCTTTTCAATGACCTACAATGTTTTTAACATTGCCATGATGAAAAATCCAATTTAATAAAACCGTGTAGAATTTCCATGGTGTGCACTATAGAGAACCTTCACAACACTTTGGTTGAACTTCCAAGCACTCCAGACTCCCAGACTTTTTTATATTTCATATATTTCATTTCATTTCATATATTTCATAGGTTTAGGAGCACAATTAAAGGATAAAAGTTGAATAAGCTGTCCAAATTTCAGGTTATCTTTAAGTGAAGACTGAAATCCGCTGTGTTAACACCAATGTGCCAGCCTGCAGGAGCACCTGCCTCTTAAATGGAGTAATGACAGTGATTGGTTTGATTCATGTTACGCAAAATAATCGGCCAATGTATAATCAAGCGACTTAATGCATCTCTTTGCGCCCTGCGCCCCACTTTGCATCACGATTGTAGGCTGTGTAAGAAGCTAAATGTATTCAGACACATCCCAAATCCCTTTGAGTCACTTCATAGCAGTTTGGTTTGCTTTAGAATAGACCACAGAGATTTTTGATATATAATAATCTAATTGGGTCCATTTGTTATTTCTTCATTTTCCCAAGAGCATAAACTAATGGTTGTATAGGTAGGTTGCATGGAAACGTGAGTGAAGGAAAAAATTAGCTCAGGCAAAGATATGTTCGCTTAAGACGTGAAAGATTTGTGATTAATGAAAGACTTTATGACTTGCATTTATAATTGTTGGATTCAAAGATGAGTATTGTTCTTTTTTCGTCCTCCCAGCCAGTATAGCTAACTGGCCTTTGGACATTTGGTCTTTTTCTTAATAGCATATCAGTACCTGAGTGCTGGTTAGTCGACTCTCCAGCATGTCCTGGGTGGGGTCCTCTGATTCCCAGGGGCCCCTGCCATTGTCTGCAGGAACAGTCCTGGCCTGGCCCTCATCATCGTAGACCGTCCACTTGGTTAGCTTCTCCACCGTCTGGTGGGGCAACAAGTTCTCAGCACGCAGCCAATCCTGAACCACGTAGAAAAGATTGATAACTGAACATAAAGAAAACAATCCACCACACTGATTCAGCGAAAGTTTGTCTCTATAGAAACATTAAAGAGACTCGCTCTATCGACCATATTCACACGGTGGCCATCATCCTGCGTCTTCATGCTCAGGGTGGAAGTTTGAGCAGTTACTGGTGAAGTCTGTGTGAAAAAGGCTTAAAGGCCGAGAAACCCTACTTGTGTACCAGCACTTTCCTTCCAAAGAATTTGACAAATGGGTTGATGAATTTGAAAAAAAAAAAGAAGATTCAAATAAAGTGTAAACAAGTGGATTGAGGCTTATTTCTACGTTGTTTAAGGTAAGACCAGCATCTGTCCGTGACTGAGAACCTTGTATTTCTGTCAGGCTAAGGTGAACTTAAAATGAACAGTAAGATCAATGTAAGTGCTGCTAAAGTCAACTAATAATATAACCATATAGCACAGCACTGTCGGTCCTTAAAGCTTGGTGCTGGTAATGGAAGGAAAATAAAAATATAATACATTTGCTTTGAAGGTGTTGAAAGGACATTATTGTTTCCTGAATTGTTGATTTAACATACAAATAGTAGTGGAGCTTTAAGCGAGAGCTGCAAAGCTAACGTTAAGTTGTATGCTTAAATACTTCCTGTAAGTTTTATTCAGGCTTATATGAACGTGTTCAAGACGAGCGTTGGATAAATACACAACATCCTATGGAAGCCCCAATTGGACATGTATTAATTCAGTCAATTAAATGGCACTTTCTGTGATATCGAGTTAATTTCAGCCGTTTTCTCGAGATCTCCAGAAATCAAATCATCATGGTTAAACCAACTTTGTTATGCTAAAATAATGAGATAAATAAAGGGAGATCTTGAGGAAACAACTGAAACTTCTAGCTATCACAGGAAAACTGAGTAAAATATATTGTATGGATGCATGACCGCTCAGGGCTTTTTAAATATTGCATCCATTATTCTCATATTTAAAAGTTAACTAGGAAGAAGTTGAATGCTAACGCTCTGCTCTGATGGTTCTCATTGGGTTATGAATTATGGTTTTTAACTCAAAATGTGGCCTGATCTTCACCCCAAAATTTTCCGTGTCCATTGGCAGTTGCTTATCAATTGAGAAACGGTTAAATTAAGACTTGTCAGATTCTAGACGTTTATATGCTTTACATCCTGGAAGAAGCAGGGAGTACACAACGTTTCAAAAAACACTGGGACGCCTTCTAAAACTGTAAATCATTCAAACCCATTTTTTTATGTTCATTTTAACAAGACAACAAATCAGATTTGGAAACTGAGAATTGTCATTGTTTTCAGAAAATGATATGCCAAATTTAAATTTGATGACAGCAGTGTTCTAGTTTATGCACCGGTTGCTGTATTTTGTGTCACTTCTAAATGTTTCAGTATGAAACAGTACATTTTGCTATTTCCATTTCCATCTATATTAAAAAGGGAATAATCTTCGGAAAAGGTAAATTCTGGTTGGTGTTTTTTTTTTTTCGGGGGGGGGGGGGGGTTTAGAAAAAAAAAAAAAAAAGAAAATAGAAAAGACCAAGTACTTTAAGTTTTCTGTTTTCTCAACACTAGAGGTATACTGATTTACACAAGTCTATCACAAGTCAAGACAGCAACTGTTTGGAAATCGAGGAGATTAGTTTACCTAACTTTGAGAGTTGAATAGTCCCATTCTTGCTTAATGAACTATTGAAGCATCCAAACTTATTTGGAAATGTGGTTGTAATAGATGACTGTGATTTATCAGGAAAATGGCCGCTTTATGACTATAGCCTATTAGCCTTCCTCTCAGACATGTTGAAGTGACACAATGCCATTTTATAATTGATTTTGATTTTAAGTCTATGAAAATGTCACACAAACCTGAGGGTCGCCACTCATCCGTGGGTTCCCAGCCCAGTGCACCTCTGGTTGGGTGATACCATATGTACCCCCCTCACCCATGAGCTGGGCAACTTCCCTGTCTGCCTCTTCTTCATACAAGGACCGGACACCTGCCACCCCTGTACCTGCACCCCCATTTGAAAAGGGCTGAGTGGTAGTCCTCGGTATCCCAGGTGCAGCCTCTGTCACTGGTTCTTGTCTTTTTGCTCGATTCCGTTCTCCACCTAATGTTCCCCCTGATAAGGATATCTTGGACAGGTTCATCTGGGAGGGGTCCAGTTTCATTCTGGCAGCCTGTAGAACACTGACTCCATCTTGATTTCCAAGGACTGATGGCCTGTTTCTATCCTCAGTGTTGGAGGATTCTTCCAGTGCAGCGCTGGTTCCTGGGCTCCTCCCTGTTACTTCTCCACCTGTGATTAAACCTCCAGGTAAGGGCTTCTTAATGGACTTCAATAGGCTGAGATCTGGTTTGACAGGAAGCACGAGCCTGGCGCCTGGTTTCGGGGGTTTGGGCTGTGACGTAGCATGTTCTCCGGTAGTATTTGATGGTGTAGACGCAGTCTCAGACACCTCGGCTGTGTCTGCCTTGCCCAGTTTGTTCATCCTCGGCAGAACCACAGCATATTTGGCCTCTACCTCCTTCTCCCCAGCTTGGTCTGCTTCTTTGCCTCCATCCCCTGCTTTGCCCCTATTTTTCTTGCCGGCAAGGCTGGTTTTGCTGGCAACTCTCATCGCCACGCGGTGTTTGAGGATGCTGCTCTTTGATTTTCTGGGACCTTGTTTCTGTGTTAACCGACGGAGTGATAGCCAGCGTGATACACTGATTGCTCGTGTCCAAGCAGACAGCTTCTTCCTCAAGTTTAACCCCCGCGGCATGTTCTTATGAAGCCAACCAGACATCCTGTTTAGACTGCTCATGCCTTTTCTTTGTGCTATCAAGCGTTCCTTGATTTTGCTCGACTCACCTTCAATCCCCTCACTCTCTGGTGTTTCCTCGCCTGACAGCTTGTTTGCTTTTTCTTGGGGAGACATCGTCTTTACCTTCCCCAACAGCAAGCTCTGTGGTCGCCCTTTGATGGCGCTACCAGAGCTCTGCTGCTCCTCCGTCTCCAGAAATGCTTTGAGATCCTTCCCTTTGTTTTTGAGAAGCAGGATTCTGTTTTGGCCTTTGAGTGCTTTAGTCAGAGTTAGTTGAGCCGTATCCTCTTCCTCATCTTGATCAGCTTCTTCAGGAGTCTCTTCCTCTGCTGTGTCAGGCCTTTGTTGTGGTTGAACTTCCTCTGCGGCAGAACTGGGTTTTTCCTCCTTCTTCTGCTTCTTTTTGTTCTTTTTTTCTTCCTTGGCTTTCTGTTTGGCTTCCTTTTCTAGCCTCTGCTTCTCTGCTTTGGCCCTCTGCTTCTCAGCCTTCTCTGCCTGCTTGTCTGCTTTGGTTTTTTTAAACATCTTGCACTTCGGCTCTTGCACAGGTTTCGTGGGACGTTGAGTCCGATTAACTTGCCGGCTGGTACGCCTTCCAGATGTAACCTCCTGGGTTACCTCTTCATCTTCACTCCCATCACTACTTATTGCCTTGGTTTTCTTAACCTTCTTCTTTTTTTCCTCTTCCTCTTCTTCACCGGATTCAACCTCTGATTCGTTCCCAGATTTGGCGTCCTCAGAAAGCTCTTGTCTGTCGGATTCCTCGTTTGCCGTCTGCTCTGTATCTCTTTGGGTATCTGACGCCGCGGCTTCTTCCTCACTGCTCTCCTCACTCCCCTGCGTCTCTGCTGACTCTTTGTTACCACCCGTCTCATCCTCCTTCTCATCGTTACAAGTGTCGTCTTCCGTCACCTCCTCTGAGCTTCCTGCATCACTCTCCTCCTTCTCCACCTCCTCCTCACTGTCTGTCACTTTGTCACTTTTCTTTATGTCCTGCTTGTTGTTGTTTCTCTTCCCTTGTGTTGTTTGTGATGCTTTTGGTTGAGGTTTGGGCTTGTTAGTCTTGTTTATGCCTCTTGTGAAATGACCATCTTTTTCTTGTTTGGATGATCTACCATTAGCAGGTGTTCTGTTTCTTAATGTGCCCCCCATTTCTTTCTGCAAACAATTCTGTTGTGTCTCTTTCCTTTTAGTTTTATCAGCTTTATTACTTCTTCTACTCTTCACTTCATTTGCCCCGTTTTTCTCCTCCACTGTCAGTGCATCCCCTCCACTTTTTCTTCTTCCATTAGGAACTTTAGAGGAAGGCTCAGAAACTTTGGAACCCTTTTGTCCATCATTTTTCTGTTGACTTCCTTTTTTCGCTTCCCCTGCCTTCCTCTTTGTGGCATTTGTTCTACCTTGGGACTTGACCGGTGACATGGCAATCAATTCTTCACTGAAATTACCTAGAAAATGTGAAATACATTAAAAAAACGTCTTTATTACAAGATGGTATTGACGTGCAGATTTAGAAGTAGAGGGTTAAAGATTTAAACCAATAATGAACAAACCAACTAGACATCGATTAGCATTTTAAATAGAATTTAGGACTGCTAGCTGAGTGACACGTCAGTCACAGTCATTGAAACCAGGTCCTCGGGTCGATCCATCAGCATTTAGACCAGGTTTCACACTAAGTCCCCGATCCTTGTACTGCGGCTAAACACACCCAGGTCAGACCTAGTTTATACTCAACTGACCTTTTTTTTCTTTCTGACTGCTAGGCTAACTTTGAGCTTCTATCAACTTCACAAAAATCATTGTAGTGAAAGAACAAACAGAGGAAAACTAATTGCAAAGTGGCAAAGAATCTTTTCAATGCAGGATGAAATGACTCTCCTTTTTCCTTTCTGAAAAGCAAACAGCAGCTCGTATCTGCAGGTCAGATCTAACCTGCAGTGAAAGGCTATCTTTAGATCCGCCTAAATGTCGTTGTATAGCCTGCACACCCTGGGGGTAGAGCAGTCAGAGCTCTTTCAATGAAATATAGCTTACCAGGCTTCTCAGGTGAAACCCAGGCATGGCTGGGGGGCTGCAAAGTGCTCCAGCTTGTCCTCAAGAGCTGATGTCACAAATACAAACATTCACCCATGTTCAGGAGGAGTCAAACCAATATCCCACCCACTAACATTATATGGCATACGGCCACATGTGTGCTACATGCGTATACACACAATGCCCCCCCCCCCCCAGTCCAAAAAGGTGAGCTGGCGTGCACCGACCCGCACACACACACAAACACAAAGTGCCTTCTGAATAATACAGCTCTGCCTGGCAGGTCATGCAGATCTGCTGCCGTTAATGTGGCCAGCTGGTGAATGGTCAGGACGAAAGGTGAGAGGTGCTGCTGGGAACGATCAACAATAGGTGCTGATGGAGGAGAGAGGGCGAGAAAGAGAGAGGAGAGGTGAGGAGAGAGAAAGGGAGTTTATAACTTGAGAGAAAGAATCCGTCAGTGTGTGCTGGAATTTTGAAGCCGTCACATTTTTAACTGTCAATCTGTCAGAGCAGACCAGCTGTACTCAGACATCCACACATTGTTTCTTATTGAAACCCTGATATTTTAAAGTCTGATCTAAATAGTTTCCTCCCATGTTAAAGATTTAGAAAAAAAGTCAAAGAAATTTGTCAGTAATAATTTATTTCAAGCTCCTTTGAGAGTGTTTAGCTGGTTATGGCAAAGACTAAAATCAACACTGAATAATCTTTATGACCTAAACGGGATCATCCGGAATAAACTTAACTACATTTGTTTTTTTACCTCAAAGATTTATTTTTGGGACTTTATTTTGACAGGACAGTGAATATGAGAGTTGGGAATAGGGGAGAGAGAGATGACATGGACTGAAATGGTAAATGGACTTGAGCTTGTATATCTATTTTCTAGTCTTCTGACTACTCAAAGCGCTTTCACACAGCAGGTCACACCTACACATTCACACACTGGTAGAGGCTGCTGTGTAGTGAGACCCTCAGAAGTAACTAATCCCATTCATACACATTCATATGCCGCCGACAAAGCAGCAGGAGCAATTTTGGGTTTAGTGTCTTGCCCAAGGACACATCGGACATGTTGCTGCAGGAGCTGGAGATCGAACCCTCGCCTTTCCAAGCAACGACTCTACCAACTGAGCCACAGCCGCCCACTATATATCCACTTTTTCAGACACCACTACACCACTGGTTATAACCTAGTCGTCAGTTCAGATGTTTTTTTTGTCGTCACATTTTAAAATATGTCTTACTATCGCTCAGTAATCCTCTAATAAACTCAAACCACAACGAATGAATACCTGCATTGCTGCCTGAATGTTCGGGCTGTTTTTGTCATTAAGCAAAATAGGACTTTTCAGACTTGAGTTGTAACCGCTCTACAAAAGCTCCAGGTGTCCAGGTCCAATTTTCTAGCTCATTAAACGCCATCAGGTTGCAAATGACGGACTCATCTTGCAGGGTCATCCTCTAACAGCGCAGCTACTGTGAGCTGGCCTGGTCTCAGCCTGTAGGTCCTCAGAGAGCTCAGGTTGCAGAAAAGCCTCCGTAGCTCAAGGCAATTAGTGGACAAAGCGCCTCATTCTATTATAGATGATCAAAACTCTTGGCTGTGCTTGTATGACAACTGATCCCTCTTTTATCCACTTTGCCAGAGACGACTCCTAAAGACAAAGATTATAGCTGGGCTCCTGGAAGAATACAGAAAGTGATTATATATCTGAACTTGTTTTTTCAGATTGGCCAAAATGATGGGTTAGAAGTTCATGTGTTTGGTCTTTTTTAGGGTTTTGGTTAAACATAAAACATAAAATATGTATTATGTGGAAAATCAAGCTGAAAACCTCCAGGGGCTGAAAAGCAAAGCTGCCACACGTGCCAACAAACTGCAGTTCCTCAAAAAGCCACTGGAGGATCACTCCATCCATCCAAAATCTATAATTGTTTTTTCATTAGTTGGGGTTTGGCTCCTTTTATTGTTAGTTGGTGCTGCTACCTGAGTTAATTCAAAATCACAGGACAAATCAAAGTCTCTCTATGACTAGTTCAGGAGTGCCATTAGCATGGTAGTGACAGAAAGGGAAGCCCTGAAGAGGTAGGGGCTGAAAAAACTATGGAGGGACTCTCAAATCACTTTTCACATCATATTCTTCAAGCTTCTCACAAAATATAAGGATATATTTTGATTGTCAATAACAGATTGTCGTTTACATGAAGTCTTGTCAAATATAATTAGATTTGACTACATGATTACATTGTTATCCACTATAGAAAAGGACACCCTTTCCGACACCAAATGGAAGTTCTGATATTAACCAAATAATCAGTCTTATGCTTTGCAGTGGCTTTTTGCCCTAAGACTGTGAGCTTTACAGTAAATAAAATTATTAGCAGGTATCTGTGTCCTGACTTGTTATCTTGATCAGTGTTTCTCTTCTGTTAATTTCTTTGTGTTGTCACTTCCATGGGAGTCAAGATTGTTAAAGACTTGAAGAAGCCTCTTTGTTTCGTTCATCCGCCAGGTGAGTTTGCCAAATCCCACGAGCTCATTTTACCTTCTTTTTTTTAAGTCTGAGTGAGAAGAATCCACCACAATAGAATCTAATTAGCCTAAAATGCCTATCCAGGTATCCCCAGAGGAAAATCAATGTTGTTCCTGGACCGTTCAAACTACAAACACAAATAAGGTATTTTTGTCAAAGATAACTATCTGCAGTTTCAGACCGAGTTTAAATTCTTCATACATCGTTAAAATGGCGTGTTGAAATAAGGCAGAGTTATTAATTGAAGCAGCAGACCCTTGTGTTTTCAAGAAATGTCATTCATCAGCATAGTGTCGTGCAATGGGCCGGGTGTAGATCTGAATATTTACTGTCCATCGTGTAGATACATCACAACAGGGACAGACCCCTCCTTTCAACTCACTGAACATTATTGGCTGAGATCAGCGAACGGGAGGTCATAATTGGCCAAATGAGGTGTCAATCGAAAGGTGTGACACGAGCCTCGGGAGATCATTTTTATTTATTTATAAATATATATATATATATATTAATGAATTAATACAAAAAACGGAGTGGGAAATCAGGAACAGCGACCGAGAATTTGATGCAATCTGTGGATCTTTGAGGATGTGATGTGTTTGGATTACATTTTTCACAGGATTTCTGATGCAGCAGGACCGATTTTGTTGGAATATTATCAGGAGAGTACAGTAAATGTTGAGTTACAAGACAGTAAAAATCGTTTGTTGGTGGTGGTCAGACAGATGTTCAGATTGTGGCTGTGGTGGTGGCTTTTGAAATTATTCACATGGTCAGAATCACACAAATCGCAGCTTTCTAGAAAAGTATGATGAGTGATAATTATAAACCGTAGTGGTGTTAAAAATAGTGATAATCAGATAAGACCCTCCGACCCTCTGACTGATTTTTAACAGGTAAATAACCAAATTTTAATGTTAATGAATTGGCCATGCAGACTGATAAATTGCCTGCTACTATTAACTTCGAACCTATCGTCCAAAGATGGTCACTTTTGTCTCCAAAGAACGAAGATGCTGAATGTCATAATACTGAACTCGAGGCTTTAAAAGGGCAGACATTAAACCATGCAGTGACATCACAGCAGCTATTTCTACTTCTTTTTTTAAAGGAACAATGTTTAACATTTTTATCGTAAATCAAGTCTATCCTGTGTAAATGTGTCTCTGAGTCATGACTGTCTACAATGAGAAGCTTGAGTCCCACTGGCTGTGTTGTTGTCAGATCCGTGTTTACATGGACGGGACGGCCGGCTCCTCCCCTTGTGTATAAAAGCTGTTTTAGTCAAGGACTAGAGAGAAGAAGAACATACTCACTGATTATTTGGATGTTAGTAAGAGTTTTTAGAGCACGGTCATTCTGTGTCAATTTATGTGCAATGTGAAGCTACAAACTAACTAAACAGCGCTAACATTAGCATGCTAACACAGTAATGCAGGCCACAAGCAACTGCAGCTCGAGTCTTGGACAATTTTGTCCACCACTTGCACTAAACTCCTTCGGTGAACGAGATTGGAGAGGGGTTGGAGGTGTGTCTCTGGAGGAGGTGTGGACAAACAGCTTGTTTTGTTTTTTTGCTGGTGCTCAAAGGCGACATCTACTGGATCAAAAAGTCACATATGCTCCCTCTAAAGTCGATTTATAACTGGATAGTTTTTTTTCGCTGGAAAGACTTCAGAATAAATCCAAACAGACACATCAGTTCTGCAGAAAACATGTAATAATTATCCACAAAAAGACTGTAGTGTGAGGTTACAAATAAAAAAAATTAGGGTTCTTAATCAGTTCACTACAAAAATATATTCTAGGTTGATGCTAAAATACCCAGCATTCTGAGACACAGTACCAAAATATGATCTACGTAGCAGCCAACCCCGTTACATCAGGCCCACAGGTACAGACTGAGTCACATACTGTATATATTAAACAGATTTCACTAAAGTAGCTTACAATTACATTCCTAAATTACATTATTCATTGTTGGAATAAAAAAAAAATGTTTACATAAAAAATAATTAAAAACCAAAAACCCCGTAGAAAGCTGTTCCCCCAAAAAATGACAGCACGGTGGAGAAGTACCGACGGGCGGGTGAGAAAGTCTCCGAGTGGACGGGTGGAGACAGGGCTGTGTGAGCACAAACACACTTTGTAATGCTTTTACTGATTCATCAATGCTGACTGACAGATTTAAAAAAACAAACAATTTTACATCATTGTGATTGAACATAATTTTTTTTTTTTCTCTTCTCAAGACAGTTTCCCTTAACAGTTCATCTGAAGAAGTGTGGAAGCTCATTCACTCCAATAGAATTAAAAAAATAAATGAAAAATAGGAATGAAAAGTTGTAAAATAATTATCGTGGCATGCTGGGATTTTTAAAAAAAAAAGTAAGAGCGAGGCAGAAAGATGCAACAAGAAAAACATTTTGAGCCAAAATGATTATAAACTAGAGTTCAAACTTCAGAGTTTGTCAAGTAGCGGATGTTGTATCAATTAAATAGAATCAGTTTAAAAAGTATGAATTAAAAATGACTAATGTTTCGTTTTGACGTCCTGTTTCCTAACATAACGCATTTTAACCTTGCGTTTTATTTCTCTTATTCTCCACATTTCTCATATTTTTTCTTTTCTTGGCAGACATGAGCTTCCAATGTGTAAATCTGAGATTTCTTCCAATTTAAAAAAAAAAATAACAAAATGAGGCACAAATTACATGAAATTCAAGCGAGAAAATATCTCCAGCAACATTATTCAAATCTTTCCCCACGTTCCCTTCCAGCTGTTCTGTCTATGTGGGGAGATGACGGCCAGCAGAGGGGAAGAGTGTCGATTGGACGAACCGTTTCTTCGTGCAAAGGCTGGTGGTGATTTAAAAAAAAAAAAAAAAAAAAAGGCTTCAGGATGGAGGCGTGGAGGTTATCAAAGTCGAACAGCTTCAACAAGTGGCAGTTTCAGGATGCTGGTCAGATGAAGTTTGGCGTTGGTCACGTGTCAGGAATGTGCTTCATGTGGCTTTGGGTTAAATGTTTGTGACCGTGCTGCGGTGGTGGAGTACAGCGCGTGGTCTTCAGGCACAGGTGGCGTCTCTCCCTCCGCTCTGTCTGCACCGCGACGCGACATTCGAACAGCCGAGCGGGTGCACGTAAAGCAGGACTGTCAGGAGCCCTTTGGTGTCTCTGTGTGAGGGGCCGCTGAGAGAGGGGAGGTCAGACACTGAGGCGAGGGGGTCAGGGGTCAGTAGTGGTTGTGTCAGCGTAGCAGGAGGCGAGAGCTGCTACAGGACTGCAGGAGTACATCAACGCCACTGTTCACACTGAGGAGAGAGAACAGAGAGAGAGAGAGACCATGAGCAGCTGGACTCAGAGCATCCCAAGCTCACATGAGAACGACAAGATCACACGGGAATAAAAGAGAACAACGTGTACATAACATGTTGCTTTGTCTTCTGAGGTTGATTTGTTCAGCCCGTTATGACGTAATGTTGATAAAGGGATGGAATATACAATCAGGAGTCTGTAAATATGACCGGATACTTTATGTGTTCCCTTGTCAGACTTCCTGCTCGGATCAATCAACTCTGTTCAGATTGACGCATACTTGCAGCGGTCTCCATCAAAAAAAAAAAAAAAAAAAAAAGGCCCTGTGTGCATGAGGAACACAAGCATCGGCTAGAGAGGACACGATGAGCTCGGGATTGCGGAGCACAGACGCAGCGCGGCGCACGCACACATCCTGTGGAAACTGCCATTAACAGGGACTCCAAAATGTCGGCAACCAAATATGTTCAACTACCTTCGTCTCACCTCAGGTATCCAGTGATGTCTCTCAAGCTACAGCATTCTTCACATTATTCTCCAGGAACGACCTGCAGGAAAACAGACAACAGCTTTAAACAACATGAACACTCACACATCCTGACCAGTACAAATGTTACCCAGCTGGAATGTTCAGTTCAATGCATCCTAGTTTACTTTACAACAAGTAATCTAATTGCAAAGCCATGTCAGGCCAGTGATGCACTTTGTACCCAGAGAGTACAAAGTTTGAAACTTTCTTTCTGTTGTGTTCAGCAAAGTTCACAACGGGCAGCTTATGTGCAGCCGTGTAGTTCTCCTTAGTAGTAGTTTTATCCATGTGTGGTTTGCAATCCTGCTAGCTAACGGTAGTTGAGCTCTCAACCTATGGTAACATTGATAGTTGTGAAGATTGGACCCACTGCCTGCCTTTTGACCACCTCCTCTGGTCACTTGCTGTCTTTAATTGAGGAGTCTTTTCAATCGAAACAGCTCTCCAAAAGATGTATTTACTGAACAGAATGAAGCGGTTTCCTTTAAATGTAGGATTATGACCTCATGAGGGAGAAAAGTAAAATGGGGCGCTGCCAGTCTGGTCCGCATCGCTTTGTATCCCGGCACGACATAACACAAGTGCTAGAGCTAAAGTTACATTACTTAATTAGCATTGAGGTTTACAGCTTTAAGAAATATGAAACATGAGGGCGTCGGAGGCCTAAAGGTTGATGTGTGCGCCCTATACATGGAGGCTGCAGTCCTCTAAGCGGGCGGCACAGGTTTGAATGTGACCTGTGGCTCCTTTCCCGCATGTCACTCCCCACTCTCTCTCTGATTTCTGACTCTGTCCTATCGCTGTAATAAAGGCATAAAAAAGCCAAAAAACAACATTGGGACCATGAGACCATAAAAAGGAAATTAACCAATGAGGAACCTACTTTTTTATATCAATAACAAGAAAGTAAAGATTTTAAAATACTTAAATTATCAAATGTATTTTGTTCATACTCCTGCATTGACACGTTTTGGAACAAAATATTTTTGGTGATTTGTGGCAAAATTTATCAAAGAATTTTGCAGATTTTGATTTTATATTAATAAAGAAAAAATATTATATATAGTGCAACATTTTACACATGTATATCATAAATCAAGTCTATACTGTAAATGTGTCTGAGTCATGACTATCTACAATGAGTGAGAAGCTTGAGTCCCGCTGGCTGTTTTTTTTTTTATATATATATATATATATATATATATATATATATATAGTGTTCATTGACTAGCATAATCTTTTGTTTGTGCCTTGCAGATTGCAGAGATTTAAAGCATTTAAAGACACAAAGATATATTGAAACAAGCAAAAATACAGATACAGGTGAATGCAGATAATTTCTTCTGTAAAGTAAAATCGGTTTCCAAATCAACACACATCAGATAACATGCTGATAAAGACATTTTTTTGTTGGGCTCAAAAACAGTAGTTCAAAAGGAACGTGAAATGACAACATGCAATCTACTAATGTTCTTTCCAGAAACAGAAAATGCTGGATACGTACGTTTGGTCTCCTTCTAGTGACATCTGGATCTCCTGAAGCACCTCTGCAAGAAAACAAATCATGACGTTAACTCAACAGCGTTCTCAGACGTTTGCTCATACTAAGGTACGGCTTCCTGGGATCAAAGGGGAGTTATAAAAATCATGCGATGGGATGAGGTTTGGTAAACGCTGCTGATGAAGGTGTGTCTGATTACAATGAAGGGAGCAGAGAGCCGACACACGAGGTGCTGAAACAGCAGAAGCCAGACATGAATGATTACAAAGAACGTAACAGAACAGTTCTTTTTCTCTCCTGTGTTTCTTTCTCTCGAGTACTCACGCTCGTCATTCAGCAAAGCATGCTCCATAACACGTCTAGCTGCGCTCTCTGGAACACACAGGCAGCAGGCAGAGGACAGGTCAGTACAGTCAGCCAAACACAGGGAGTGTGTCAATACACACGGCAGAAGCTCAAACAATAAAAGTTTAACAACATCAAACAGAACACTACATCTGCACATGTAGGGCTGTGTCAAACATGCACAAACGTGCCATTGGCTAAGGATGAAGCGGATGTTTCCTGAAACACATTTTACCTGCGTCGTCACTGGTGAGTCTGGTGTTTCTGGAGGATAAAGACAAGACAAACACTCGTGAGGATAAAAGAGGCGGAGTTTCTTTATTTCACTGTAGAAAATGAAAGAGCACACACCTGTGCGCCGGTGACGCGCCGTCAGAATGGAGCCTGCGTTTGGAGCCTGATCGAAGAGGAAGCTCGACCAGACAGCGAGGCTCCACCAGGAAGCGCGTGGACAGAGAGAAGCGTTCAAACTCGGATGGAGAGATCAGGTAGAAGCCTGAAGGGAAAGAAATAGGAACGGTTATATCACCATCAGAATCAAAATGTAGATTTCTGTCAGCAGCTGGACTACATTTGTGGCGCCATAGGCGCGTGTCAACGTCGCCACTTCCACACTGAATGAATCAGACGAAGTGGGGACAAATATCGGCCTACTGTGTGAACCTACTGAACAGCATGGACAGAAGGGACTTTCTACTGTCAGATTGTGTAGGCACTTTGGATGCACCCAGTGTCATAGTATGATTAGAGTGACTTTGAATTGACTTGTGGCTGTGATGAGCTTTGCCCTGCCATTATCGGTCATTTACAGAATCTTTTTAAATAAGTTCTAGCGCTGTAACTCGATATAGCCGCCTGTCATCGCCTCTCTGACTTTTGCTAAGCGATCACAAAATGTCACAACAGCTGAGCGTCTTCGTGAGCGCAGACATAGAATATGTTCAGGCATGTGTTTACCCTGGCCGTGTTTGGTGAAGACACAGGAAGCGATGCCGCTGACGTCCTCTCGGCGTATGCACGGGTGCTGAACCTGCATCTTGACTGACGGCAGTGACACCACATGGACGTCGCCCTGATTGGTCAGGACCACCAAGCCACTCTCGCCATACTCCTCCGACTTACTGCTGCCGAACCAGGACACGCCCACCCTCCGTACTCTGGAGCCATCCACCGCAGTCAGCTTTAACTTCATCTTAGCGCTCACTTTAGGCAGCGTGAACACCTGAAGACACATGAACACAGTTAAACAACTTTCAATGACTGCGTTTTTTTTTTTTAACCAAATACGGAGAAACTCTTTAATCCATTTTAGGTAATCATCTCCCCCGATTTATGCAGAAAATTACTTAACATTATCCAACATCAAGTCGCTTTATCAACCAACCAAAAAAAGACTGGAACTTAAAGGTTTGGCTTTGAATGAATGAAGGCCGTAGCTGCTATTGTTTTAATTTGAGATACATTAAAAAGATTATGCAAACTATCTCCTGTGGCAGTCAGCTAGTGGGTTGACACCAATTTCATTACTTCCAAATGTTCTTACTGTAGCACATTAATGATCAAAGTCAGTTGGCTTCAGTTGCTATTTTTCTGTTGGATACATAGTTTATTATCATTTACTCGTTCCATATTTAGGTTGTAGCTGCAGGCTGTCAGAGTGCTCCTCAAAACCAAATAAATCCTGCTTCGTAAACAAAAGAGACCACAGGAGAACATAAACTGAAGCACTGCTGTGTTTTACATTTTCTGTAATCTCGATCTTCTCTGCGCTGGTGTGTGTGGTGTGTGGTGTGTGTGGTGTGTGTGTGGTGTGTGTGTGTGTGTGTGTGTGTGTGTTGTGCTGACCTTAAACTGTTCCTCAGATATGACGAGAAGGTGGTGCGAGCCCTGCATGTCGGGTGAGCGAGCGAGATCATGCGCAACCTCAAGAGGCTCGGGGAGAGGAGCCCCGTGACCGTCCATCACCACGATGCCGACGACAGGCGCCCGATGCATCAGCTGGATCTCTTTAGCTGAAATAAAAGGAGAAAATGAGAAAGGAGGACATTACAACTAAAGAAGGAAAACAGCACCAAAACACATGAACACAATCTGCTGCTTCCTCACCTGGATGTGCAGTGATCGGCTCGTCTGCCCTGTGCTCTACAGGAGGGAGGCGGAGCATGTATGCAAACACACAGCCGCCGTTAGTCCCCGCCCATAGGGAGGGTGTGTTATGTGAACCTGCGACAAGATAAGGACATGTATAAAAAAAAACAGAGCTGTAATATGTTTATGGGATACATTCAGTGGGTTGCTCTGTAACTCACTGTCTGTGAGGAAGGTGTCAGCGAAATAGAGCGTCCGTACGAGGCCGGTGAAGGAGTCGTCTGAGGAGCGAGCCTCGATCTTTCTCTGGACGGGGGCGAGCTCCATCTCTGCCAGCTCCGCCTCCAGACGAGCGTTTGCCTCCTGGAGCTACTCGGGTATAAGAGAGTGATTGATTAAAAACCATTTTAAGGGCTAGGATAGGTACAGGAGAGTACACTTGTATTCTCTCTGATTCATTCAACGACTGCTTTCACTGAAGAGCAGAGAGGTTGACCTTGGCAGCGTTGGTGACGTGATGTTTTCTTAGCGAGACTCTGCTGCGTCTAATTCTTCTGAACGACTGTCGGAGGGATTTCTTTATGCTCTTCACCCTGGACAGAGGACCCTCCATGGCCAGCTGGTCACTGGGGTTTAGAGTGCACCTAGAAATAGGATAGGATAATAATCTGAGCCTCTCATTGACAAAAAAAAAAGCACTTTTAAAAGTAATGCCTCATTTTCCTTTAAGGATTTCATTGTGGCCTTTGACAAAAAAACAAAAAGAAACAAAAAAAACAGGATTGCCCTGTAATCTTTTCTCTGCTTTGTCTTACTTGACGAAGACGTTGTTCTTCTGTTGGTAATCGTAGAGGCCAAAACCGTGGCTGGTCCCAAAAGCGACCAGCTTCCACTCTGAGTGCAGGGTGAGAGCGGTGACCACAGCAGGGGGCTGACACTGAACCAGAGCGAAAGGCTGGAAACCCGGGGGGAACTGCACCGGCTCCTCTCGCACGTCCAGCCGAGTGTGACCCTGAGCAGCAAGGCAACAATTGTTTATAATCTGAATACAATGGACTCTTCGACTGTCGATGCTGACACATAAAAGAGATACAGTGTGCAAAAAATGATACAATGGACAGCAAATTAGTCTGCTGTAAAAGGTACAGTGAGATGTTACAGCTTTTCAAGGAGTGATCAGTGAAGCATACAAGCTCTTCTTTGTTTTAAGTTGTAATCGTTGCAGCTCTGCTCGTTACCTTCCAGCGGAAACCCTCCTGGCCCTGAAGCAGATCCACAACTTTAGCCTCCACTATCTGATCTGCTGCCTCGTCATTCAGTTCCAGCACCAGGATCTGAAACAGGAGGCACATGAATGAGGGAATAATCCGACAACAGTCTGTGTGAAGGCAATTTTACATTTCAGTGGCTGAGGATAAGAAGAAGTGCAGTCTAACACTTCGACACTCAAACACTGAGCTTCACCTATTTTTGCAAATTTACTTCACATGTTGAATGTCTTGAAAAAAGAGGTCTATATCTAAATAAGTTAGTGCATGTTATTTCAAGACACTGAGGTCGAAGTTGCATGACCCATCCGCAGATATTTTTACCCATTACAAGCAGTTCAGGCCTGATTTATTTTACTGGTTATATCATGATATAAGACAAGATTTTATCTGGACTCTAACAGTAGACTAAAGTACTTACTTGGATTAATTGTTTTTGCAAAGGATTTAATTTTAGTGGTATTCACAGCTCCAGACATAACTCTAAATTTTTGTGTAGTTTGCTACCTTCATTATGATCTAAATGTTGGACAAAGATCTCTCACCTGTCCAGCCGTACCAGCCACAGTCAGATACCCGCTGTATTTACAAAGATGGATCTTCTGAACGCCGAGCCGAGGGTCATCACTGTACGGGTCGAAACAGCCAACCTGGACAATCATAAACAAAAATCCTTTCACATTTCATACCTTCCAGACAGCTGACTAACACCTGCATGAAGTGTAGACAGATATGTATGTGTAAATGGATGAATGTCCTTTTAATCTAATAATAATTGTATGTGAATAATAAACAAGGGCCAGTTACTTTGCCAATTTAGCTTTAATTCGGGGAAGTCACTGACAGTTCATTTTTGACCTTGAATACAACATGACCTGAACTTAATAGTTAAATCTTATTTATTCCCAGAACCTACAGTCACTAATGTGAGTATGAGCTTCAGAAAAAAATGAAAAGAAAAAGGCTTTAGTTGAGCTTAGTTTGGAGAAAGACTGCAGCAGTAAAGGTCTGTTTGATCAACAACCTTTTCCACAAAGAAATGAAGCACTTTCCCCGACACGTACCTTTCTGAATGGCGGCCACTCTCCTTCAGTTCCTTGGTTCATGTTATCGTTGGGGTCGGCGTCCGTGTGGAAAACTCCAGCTGTGCTTAACTTATACATGGGATGCAAACAGACTCCTGAAGCATCCCAGAAACGCACCGTCCCATCCTCATGCCTGCACACACAAAAAAAACATGGAAGTTCTTCAATCTGCCGGAGAACTGAAAAACACACATGTAGACAATATTCATGTGGACTGACCCTGTGAGCAGCAGGTCTCTCTGTGGGGGGTCGGAGGCCAGGTTCTGTCCTCCTGTTATCGGCCATGGCTGCATGGAGAGAGGGCAGATTTAATTTATAACATCAAATCTTTGTCATCTGTTCAATCAGAAATAAAAGATACAGCACACCACGTATGATGACAGAGGATTATTTTGAGTGCTGATGTAGAATCTGTTTTTAAAGCTGCGCTTGTTAGTTGTTCTAAACTTTGCTGTTAAAACTGTGCCTGAAGGGAACATGTTGGCTATCAGGAGTTTTCTGTAAGTGTGAAAGAGACTCATTATGTTAAACTATCTAAAGCTTGTTTTTAGGGCATAAGTGATTCTTCATCTTTACTGAAAATAATTAATTATAACATGATCCGGATCTCTAGTGTCAAATTGTTATTTGACAAGTTCTGATGTACCTTTTTGGAGTAATGTGTCTTCTGGAGGTCTCCGGCAGCGAGGATCCTCTCCCACAGTTTGAGCGGGATGGCGGAGACGTGGTGGGAGCAGGTGATGGCGGAGCTGTGGAGGGGAACCAGGTACGGCGTCTGAATGACCGGCCAGCTGTCCGTCTGCAGGTCGATCACTACAAGCTCCTCCTCCACCAGCACCACGAGCGCACTGGGATCTCCTGCAGAGGGACAGGACAGACCGATAACAGATATAGTTATACTCTCTCTGAGATGGAATAATTTAGAGGGTTCTGTCAAGGTACAGAAAAAAGGGTGAAAATAAAATACCTTGTAAATCGACCAAAAACAGTGACCATATTCAAACCATTGATTTCAACCAATTGAAAAGCAAAAGAGGTCACACCCAGAATGTCTTAAACACTTTGCATTGCAGAACTGGTTGCATGCTTTGACAGGTGTCACACTTCAAATCTGTTTAGAGCCTCAGCAGGACAACAATAGGAGTTCATGATGAGTTGAATTTAGATGCACACTGGAAACAAGGTAACTGGGAGAAGTCAGGTTAAGCGTGGAAAATGGCATCATGTCAAATGTGTTTATATGAATCCAGTATGGTGTGAATTTTTTTTCCATCTTATATTTTCTTAAGCGCTCTTCAGATGGTTTAAATGCATGGCAATGAACTGTCAATAGTTTCCTTCTAAATGGAGAAAATTTGGAATAAATAAGAATAAAACAGAAGTCAAGGCATATCAAGGATGTGTGGCAAGCAATGGATCCATGGTCCAAAGAGCTGCTGCACTTAAAAGCTCTCATATCACCCCCATCCTCACGTCCATGCACTGGCTCCCCATCAATTTCAGAATCCAGTTTTAAATTTGTATTATTTGGTTTAGATTCTTGTACAGTCAAGCTCCGGTTTACATCACTGAGCTTATGAAGCCATAGAGGACCAGCAGGAGCCTGAGGTCCTCTGATCAGGGTCTGCTGGTGGTTCCTCACCCCAGACTTAAAACAAAAAAGGAGACTCTGCCTTTGAGGTGGCAGCACCTAACCTTTTGAACTGTCCTCCTCAGACACTGAGCTGTGAACTTTGTGGACACTTTATTAAAAGCAGTTAAAGTTTTTGCTGCATCATTGTACACACATCAACGCAGGAGAAACACCATGGAAGTCTGTCAAATAATCCAACAGTCTTAAAATAACTGTAAACCACTAAACTAACTGTAAGGAAGCAGATATGGGTGATGACAGCGTGCCAGACTCAGGTCATGCTGTCCTGCCTCAAACTGTCTGTCAGGCTGCTTCAACACTCTCTGCTCTTGTGATGATGTTTTGTTGCAGCGTGCTCTGCTGTTGTTAACGAAGCGACACGTAAAACTAAAGAAAGACAGAAAATAATGTCTGCCATTGACATCTGCTGGTTATGATATCACAATATTAGGAATGTAGAGGGCTTTGGGGTTGATCAGTCAGCCCGTCAACGTGGACAAAGGCAGTGTCGATGAAACACAGATGACATGACATCATCGGTTCTTATGTTATTTAGGCTTCTATGCTTTGTTCAAATGGATGCTTTTTCCTTATATCACAGCACTTTGTTACCTTTCAAAGGTGTTTTTATTCTGAATGTGACTTCTTTTAAGGCTTGTTGCTTTCATGCCTGTGCCGATTACCTTCCCTTCCATCATTGTGCATGAGTGTATTTGTCAGTCGTGTGTGTGTGTGTGTGTGTGTGTGTGTGTGTGTGTGTGTGTGTGTGTGTGTGTGTGTGTGTGTGTGTGTGTGTGTGTGTGTGTGTGTGTGTGTGTGTGTGTTGCTTGCCTGTGTGCTGCGGGTCGCCTCTGATGGCGAAGAAGTCGATGATCCTGGAGGTGAAGTCCAGAGCCACGTGTGTTTTTCCATGGATCACTGTGATACAGTGTCTGTCCCCGTAGCTGGCCCTGGGCATGCCACCACTGAACAGCAGGTATGGAGGACTACACACAGACACACACACAGACAGACAGACAGGTTCAAGAACAGTTCAGTTTGTTCACAGATTAATGTGTAACAGTAGGTCATGTAACACATTGGGAAATAAAGTGAGATAGAGAGAGAGAAAGGAACAGGTATCACAAATAAAAGGCAGATTGTTATATTCAGACCCGTGCCCTTTTATAAACATTTGGGGGCTAAGTAGTACAGAAAAAAAATGATCGCTTTAGTTTTTTGTGGTATCGTGTGTTTCTGACGTTTTAAATGATAACATTATCAAAATAATCTAACCAATCAAAGCAGCTTGAGACACGCTTCTCCCGTGTTCTGTTTCTCTCAATGGAGTCTGGTAGCTTGAACGAGAGCAGTGCAAAGACTGTTTCTGCCTTAAAAATCCATGTTATGTCGGTGCCGGTAGCCTAGTGGTTAGTGCGCCGCAGTCGAGGCCATAGTCCTTCCAGTGGGCGGCCCGGGTTGGAATCCGACCTGTGGCTCATTTCCCACTTGTCATTCCCCTCTCTCACTGATTTCTAACTCTATACACTGTCCTTCTCTAGATAAAAAGGCATAACCCCCCCTCAAGTATGTTAAATAAATGGACCCATGACTATCCAAAAAAATTAAAGAATTCCCCATGAGATCAATTGTGTAAAATTCTACTCACCCTTCTTCTGTAGGAAGCTGAACTATTTTAGAAATGGCCTTGCAGGGAAAATGTCCTGCAGGGAAAAAAGACAGAATCAATATCAGGCTTCAGGAAACGCATTCCATACCCGACATTACAGAATGAAGTGCAGAGGAAACTTCTTTTTCCCCTCACCGTAAGGAATGTCTGACTTCTCCTCCTCCTCGATCAGGTCCTCCGCGCCGACCATCCATCGACAGTAACTCCCGTCACTGTGCGAGCTGAGGATGTAACTTGCGTCTTCTGTCCACCACACACTCTCCAGTTGCTGTGGTCGAACAGGGTAGGATGAAAAATATAAAAGTTTAACAAACTATTAATAACTTCAGCTTCGTATTCCTAACACAGAGTGATGGAGGGCTCACCTGAGTGGCGGGGATGTGCTGGATGGCACACTGTTTCTCCAGATCCCAGATGACCATGAGACCTCGTCCGTAACCGATGATAACCTGGTTAGGATTGACCGGGTTCTCCTGGAGGGCTTCTACGTGTTCCAGGTTCCTTCGGCCAATGTAGTCGTCTGGTACACTGCAGGAGACGAGAGAGTGAGGATAAAAGCTGAAGAGGGAGACTGAACTGACAGAACATGAATGAAACATGAGCTGGCTCAGTGACATTTTGTATTTCATACAAGTTTTGTCAAAACGATCAGTAAACATTTATGTTGTTAGTACGGCTGGGCAATGTATCAATATGATATAAGCATCAAACAAGATTTTAGAGTGAGACAATATTTTTTACACTGATGTAGTTTATGTCTTCTTAATATTATGTTATACATTTCTTTCCTGAAGACGCCAGTTCACCTATTTCTCCTCTTAAGCCTGGCTCACACTGCAGGACAATTGGGCCGATTTGAGCTCCGATTCTTCCTTCACAACAATCGCAGGGTCGCTCCCGACTCAAGGCTGCTCGGAACCGATTCTTTGCTCAGATTATCTTGTAGTGTGAGTTCCAATCCAATCCAATCTTAACGTCCCTGATCTGCCCGGCGATCGTTGGGGACGCCCCGATTTATCCGCCCCCCCGCAGAAGTTGTGTGTGTGACTACAATATAATCACGAGAGACAAGGGAGCACTGTAGTCATGGCAACCAGCGGCAGGAGACCCAGCGTATTTGATATTACTGTATTTTATTTCACAGACAGGTAATTTATTATGATGTTATTTTTCATGTACATGCTGACATAGTGCAGCCGGCTGTTAATAATAGTGTCTCTGTGGCATTCGACTTTAAACTGACTTTGTTTTTGTTATTTCTTCAGCTTTGCATTATTGAGGTATGATTTATGGTCCACATCACTCAGCCCTTGTTTATAATCGATTCGTTTTAAGCAGAGAAGCTCTTATTCCTTACATTTCAACCAGGAGTATGTGAGAAAATAAAGTAGTTAATGTAGCAGACTTTAATATGCACAGAGATGCAATGATTAGAGACGAAGCAACAGGTTTATCTTCTTTTATTGCCTTTACTCAGAGTGTAAATAAACCCAGTCACTGTTGAATACCACACCCATGTGTGACCTTGTTTTGGAATATGGCATTAAAATGTAACACTTAAAATGCAGTCTCACATTTGAACTCCTGAACCGTCCAACAGAATCCTCTATCAGAACGGTATTTCATACCCATTTGAATACTTATCTTTTTATTGCACACCTTTTAACAAAAACGTATTCACCAGAGATCTGACTGATAGTGAAGTGAGCAGATTTCACACCTTCAGCGAGGTTCGAGCGGTTCAGCGTTTCTTCAACATCATGCTCATTCATGCACGGCCTGCTCCGAACTCCACCTCAGCGGCGAGGAAGTGTGGACAACAGGAATGGGAGGAATACAAAGGAGAAATCCTTCCTGCATATTATCCCATTTTCTTAACAGCTCTTTTGTAAAGTGTTTCAATAAAACTTTTTATGAATTGGAGCTATACAAATACTGATTGATTGATTTAAGGAGGCTATTAAATTAATTTAATTGAACGTTATGGCTCTATAATTAGCAAAGAGCTCTAAAGCTACTTTTAGTCCCTCTTAGCTTTATTATAATGTGGACAGTGCTGCAGGCTCACTTGATTCTATTGTCCCTCTGTGAAGACGCAAAAAATAAAAAACAGCGACAAAAGTGAAGAATTTTGAATGTGCCTGATTTGTTTGGTTGTCCCTGCAGGACAGCATTTGTTGTTTGGTGAGGTCTAGTGTGACATTAAGACATGTCATCCCTGTTAAGACTACAAACGATCTGATGTGTGTTGATGTGTTGTAGCTGCCAACCTGCTGGCGACTTGATCCAGACTGATGTTTCTCTCCTCCAGCTCTCTGAAGCCGGGGACTTCCACGACAAAAACATGTCCTCCTTCTGTCCCCAACAGAAGCAGCTCCCCCAAGGAGTGAGCGAGCACCGCTGTCACTCTGGTCACACTTGGAGGGGCCCTGAGATGTGAAGAAGAAGAAGCAGGAGATGAGACCACTAGTAAGAATGAAGGCAGGTAGCTACTGTTTGACAAAGGTAGGGCTGCACATTAGGAATGTTTTTTACATCTAAATCTGGAGATTTGAGGTTTGATCGGTTAAATGTTGGGAAATAACCAAAGAGTTCTGCAGTTTCTTACAGCCTGAGGTGAAGTATTCTTACAGTTCTTTTTTCAATCCAATGTTGAAACCCCAAACATGTAATCCCAATAACCAAGGAGCTGCAGGAAGTTAATAAATAACCCCAAAAAGAACCCTATCCAAGCTCTGAAAACTTAAACAAGCAACATCCAGCTGCGATGGTGTTCAAGTCCAGATCAGTCAGCATCACCTTGATAGCTCCTTAGCAATGCGAAAGCAAAAGCTCAGGATCAGGGAGTTATGGGGGGGACCTTATATTGAGTTCATGATTAAAAAAAAAAGATCCCACACTTATTTTAAAGCTCCTGCTCTGGAAAAGGTTGAGAAAGGGGGAAAAGTGTATGAGTGTGTCTGTATATTTTACCCAGGTGGTCCAGTGAGTGTGAAGCGTCCTATCTCCATAAGTTCAGACAGTCCCTTGTGGGCTCTTAGAGTCCACATGTGCAGACTGTTATCATCCAGCAGAGTCACCAGTTCAACCTAAACAAAGACCATAATCCATCAGTACTGTCCAAACAGCTAGAAAAAGGCAGCAGGAAACAAAGCTCCATTCAAAGACAAAGACTTCTCTGTGATATAAAAAGTCATTTGAAAAGCAGAAATGTTGTCGTGAGCATGCTGTGTGTGTTCTCTGTTCTGTACCTGGTGGGGGAGGAAGTGCACCTGCGTGACAGCTGCATTCTCATCATGTAGACCCATGAACTCCACACCTGGAGCCCCATACCTGAACACTTGTTAAGGACAACTGATTTGATAGACACAATCATTTGAAATGCACTCACAATAAGTCATGATAGAGACACAATCAGCCTTTAAACTATCACAGAGCAGATATATTTTTGTCAATGAGCCGTTGAGCTATGGTTTGAAATATGTTTTAATACCACATGTGAAAGTCTGAACACAGCACAGTTGATGTCACCGCCTGATTCTCTGAGCATGCAGGAAATGTAAAGATGGAGATTTACTTCCGGAAGAGACGGAAAAGGCCACTCTGGAGAAGTCAAGCCTCAGATATAAAGATTATTTCTTTCAGTTTGTCAGAGTTCTTGATTTACTGACAGCTGTGTGGATATGAAGAGAATGTACAAGCAAAAGAAAAATCAAACCTTTTAAAAAACAGAAGGGTGAGTTATTTTCAGAGGATATACTGGATTTCTGCTATATTTATGTGTAAAACGTTGCACATTCAGCCTTTAAACTTTACATTGTGATTAGTTTGAAATCTCTTTTCACTTCGGAAGTGAACTTTTACATAAATCAAAAACATATTTTAGAATTCTGTTCAATGGGAAATGCTATTTGAGCCTCAGGTGGATCTTTTTTACAGCTCTGAATAATGCAAAACTCCTCTGACGGAATCCCAGAAAAATATTTTATCAGTCAACAAATGAAAAGGCTTCAATCTCCCACGCTGCTGGAGTGTAAGTGAGCAGACTGTTAAAGCAGCTCCAGGCTGCTGCAGTTTATCTGACCCTGACCTCACTGTGGAGAAACAATACTGTCGCTCTGAAGATTGATTTAAGTGTCCCATTATCAAACATTTTATGTGCTAGATGAAACTAACAGAAGCTGCTCTGTTCTCTGACTCCGCCTGAGGCATCCTCTACTTAGACTCACAAAATTCATTGACATATTTTCCTTTATCTGAGCGTTCTTGTTTCTTTACCCAAGAACAATCTGCTGCTTTGTACAAACAGATTACCCCGATGAAAGAGGGCACTGCAGTTATCAAAACCAGTGTGTGTCTCTGTGTCAATGGAGAAAGAGTACCGACTGGCTCCGCTACACTGTCAATGAGAATAATTGAGCACGAAGGTTGTGGCGTCACAGACTCCTCTGTCTGAGAATGCCAGGCAGTGTTGAGCAACAGCGTGGGAAAACGAAATACCTGAAGCAGGTGCCCATGTGAACTGCAGACGAGGTTTTAGCAGCGTCACAGTCGCTCATTAGCGCTGCCTGCCTCAAGTTTGAACATGACGCTCAGATTCCTGTTTACACACCGGCAGCGTAAAGGATACAGTTTGATGGCTCCGGAGCGTGTGCCGATGGCCAACAGCTGCAGGGAGGGACTGTAGCTCAGAGCGCTGGGCTGGTGGGGGAATCCATGCTCCACCGTCTGAGGAGGAGACAGAGGAGGAGACGGGGAGGGTGAGACTGAGCTCTGACAGCAGAGACAATGACAGGATGGAGACAAGAGGCTGCAGCAAAACACAGTGCCGATAAGAGCAGGTGGACTAGAAATAGGAGGGATTACAGATAACATAGAAACATGAATCCTGTTGTCCCAAACTGAACCACAGACACTCCAGAGCTTATCGTATGATGCAGAAGGACTTGATTGGTAAATAATACATTTGGAGGAATATCTTGTGTAAACACCTCTTGTATCAGTTCTGTTCTGAGACAAAGCATGCATCACATGAGTACCACCACAAGTTTGCACACTGTGTGATCAAGTGTTTATGTGATTGGTTGAAAACAACCCGTGATCATTTGCTCTTCAGGAAGTGCCAGTGAAATACTACATCGGCATAAAAGACTAAGGTCATGCCACTTTATATAAAGAGCAGTTCAACCTAATTTGTTTTTTTGAATTTGGGGATGTATGAATTGACTGAATGAGTCGGTGTAATAAATGCATAAGAATTTGTTTTCAAAATCAAAATGCTCTCGTGTACAAAAACCTGATTTCCCCTCCGACAGTTACCTTGATGTAGTCACACCTTTAACCACCTGTTGGTATATAAATAATTCTAGTTTTATAAACCAGTCGTCACCTGTCAATAAAATCTTCAGAAAAGGAATTACACCTTTTACAAACTGTGTCACAGTCGTCAGACATGTTTAGACCAGCCGTAACACATGAACACCCACAGCTGTGCCTTCCTATCGACCCCGACTTATTGTTTCTATCACATGTAGCTGTGAACCTGGAACAGCCGTTATGCCACAGCCAGATCAAAGTTGGGAGAGGTTCACAATCTTGCAGTTCATAGCACATAGATTTTACAAATTTACAAAAAAGACAAAACCTGCAAACATCACAGCACCTTCAGTGTGTGAACTTGGTCTGGGGTCTGTCAACTACAGTAGGTTTTATTTATATACACATCTGGACAAATCTGGTTTATTTTCTGCAACAGCTTTTCGATGAATCATAGACCGGATGAGTCAGTCACAAAGGAAGAAACAATCTCATGAAACCACAGTCTGCTGTTTGTTTATAGAACGGGTCAAAGTAGGCCTTGAGGTGCAAACACAAAAGATAACAGCTTCACAAACTTTGACCACCAGGTAACTAACATTTGTTAAACTGTTGGGCACCCTTTCTGCACTTCCCCATCAAACCTATCTCCTTTTTAATATTCCTCAAAAAAAGACTGTGCATGCACATGTATGTACCATACAAGCCAGACTATAAAGTTTATTAGACACAGTGTGTTGCGTTTCTGTTTATTTCTTTTTGTGTGTGTGTGTCTGTGTGTCTCTCTGTGATCCTTCCCAGAGAGAAATTATTTTTTAACAATTTTCCTGTGTGATGATTTCTATTCTGCAATGCAAACTCCACAACGTGCCGTCTCTGTGTAGCTGTGTAGTAGCTGTGTGTAGCTAGTTCAAGTACCTGTTTTCACCATATGAAGTAGAGTTAGCAATCCTGCTAGCTACCAGCACAGTAGTTGAGCTCTTACTCTATTATACTTGATTTCAGCAGATCGAATCTGGCTACCCACATGCTTAATGGTTTATGCAATGGCGACTGTGATGACTGCTCACTTCAACAAGCAGTCGCCATGATTATGAGAAGTGTCTCTCAAAAATTGACGTTTGCGAGTGTGTGATGAATCTTGAGACAGCAGCAGATTTCCCCACAGGTGGTGAAAAACATCTCTTCTCAACACCTTTGAACGTCAGCGTTTCTTCCATTGCTGTATTTTAAAAAAGGTCTTTTCAACGGAAGAATGTGGACTCTTGCTCTTCATGTGTGTAGTCTGCTGTATTGGGTCAGGGTTTCTAACCTTGTTGAAGTGGAAGAGCTCCTGTTTGAGTCGATCTCTCTGGGACTCCTGGCCGTGTCGCCTGAACCTCTTCATCCTGTCTCAGCACCAGCGTGGAGCCTGCGGGCCCACTGACGCACCCTGCAGGGAGGAAAAAAAAGGAAAGAAGAGGGGAGAAAACAGAGAGCGTTAAAATAAAGACCCTCCTGGTTAATGGATAATCTTGGTTTTCTTATGCACTTCTCCCTTTATCCTTGAAAGAATTTGCAAGGTGGTTACTGAGATTTGCCAAGGTTGTATTGTGATGTATTGGCTTCTTACTTAAGCTGACACGCAGATCAATTGTTTTCCTAATGCTCCCTTGGTTACATCTTATGATCAATCAATTATTGACGCAGGCTGTCTGCGAGCACAAATAACTCCCTTAGTGCTGTTAGTCTAATCTCGCTGTTCAGTCATTGAAGTAAAGAAAGGCAACAGCGGGAATACAAATGAATTAAACCAAATGTTTAACGTTGAAAGGGTGACGTTTTAGGCTGACTTGAGACAGTAATGTCTTTATATGCGAGTCAGTGGAAAGTAGGAGGACAGCCTCAGGTAGCCGACTATGTTTTCTACAAAAAGACCAAAAAAAAGAGAGACAGGAATTCCACAGGTGGAGTCTGGCACAAAATTCATTGTTGTCAACGGGCAAACCTGCAGACACACACAGTCAGCCCTCCTTAGAAGCATGTGCCAGCTGATGAAAACACCTGCTTACACATACTGAGGGTTCCCACAGACAGACAGGCAGGAATGAAAAGAGGGAGAACACCACAGCACGCCTCTCCAACATTGTCATAAGCTTTTTTTCTTAAATTTGTTCTTATTTAAGAAAAGTTTCCGTCAGATTCATGACGTCTCCTCAAACCACAGAATTGTTCACACCGTCGTTCTTTTGACTCCTTTTTCCCCCCCTCAGAACTGAACGTGTTTGACAGTATTGCGCACAGGTCAATTTGTCAATACCTGTCAAACAGCAACTGCAGGGCTGGGAGCACCCAGTAATAACGTCACAGAACTTGATGAGATATGGAAAGAAGTGAACTATGCCAAAACAAAAACCTACAGGTGAGGGCGCACGCTTAAGAAAAGAATAGGTTATCCTGACGTGGACGTAGAACTGTAGTGGAGGTAGAAAAGAGATCTATTAACAAGCTGTCGTGTTAACAAGCGTTGCCCATTAAAAGCTATTTATATCATACTGTAACTCCTTAAATAACAGTCCCCAACAAACATAATGTGATAATGGCCACAGAATAAATTAGGGCCCGACTTATGGGGTTTTTGGGGCCGATACTGATATTGGGGAGAGAGAAAAAAAATAGGGTATCGACACTCATCGGCCACTTTATTAGTATTGCTGGTACCGGGGTGGACTCCCTTTTACCTTCAGAACTGCCTTAATTATTCGTGGCATAGATTCAACAAGGTGCTGGAAACAGTTCTTTCGAGATTTTGGTCAACATTGACATGACAGCATCACACAGTTGCTGCAGATTTCTCTGCTGCACATCCATGAGACAAATCTCCCGTTCCACCACATCCCGAAGGAGCTCTGTTGGATTGAGATCTGGTGACTGAGGAGGCCGTTTGAGTACAGTGAACTCATTGTCATGTTCAAGAAACCAGTTTGAGATGATATGAGCTTTGTGACATGGTGTGTTATCCAGCTGGAAGTAGTCATCAGAAGATGGACTGTGGTCATTAAGGGTTGGACGTGGTCAGAAACAATGCTCAGGTAGGCTGTGGCGATTAAACGATGCTCAATTAGTAGTACACAGGGACTTCAGCTGTAAACCTGTAGTTATGCGAGTTACTGTTGCCTTTCTATCAGCTCAAGCCAGTCTGGCCATTCTCCTCTGACCTCTGACCTCTGGCATCAACAAGGCATTTTTGCCCAGAGAACTGACACTCACAGGATATCAGAGCAGCCCGTCTCGCACCAACAACCATGCCACGTTCAACGTCACTTAAATGAACTTTTTTCCTCATTCTGGTGCTCGGTTTGAACTTCAGCAGATCGTCTTGACCAGGTCTACATGCCTAAATGCATTGAGTTGCTGCCATGTGATAGGCTGATTAGATATTTGCATTAACAAGCAGTTATTGGCATCTGTAGCCAATAAAGTGGCTGGTGAGTGTAGATATATAGATCTGGAGTTCGATTTGGAGAGAAAGATAAATATATATATATATATATATATATATATATATATACATACATACATATACACACACTTATTGCGTTGATCCCTCAAAAGGAAGTTATCATACACTTGTCTAAAAGATAATGAGGAGATGGCCACTCAACTGGAAAGTAACTGTGCATGTATGTGCATCAACACTTGACAATGCAGAGCGGTAATGCTTGTTGTAATCCATAATTCACACTAGGGAAAGAGAACTGCTAGTTTAAATTAAATTAAACTCAAATTAAATGCATCTGACAGATAAATATATGTAGAAATATCTGCGATAAAATTAACCAATATTTCAATTTTTCCATCTCAAAACAGTTGGTGGAAAGAGCAATGAGAGAGAAAAACACACTTATTATTCCTTTAAGTAACACGTTTCAAGTCCCTGAGAATATTGAGCAGTGTGAAATAAACTTCGCTTTAGTGGTAAACTGGTGGCTAAAGACTGAAGGGACTGACTCACTAAGCTGCATCACGTGAAGCAGCATGAAGGCCTCCAAGCCTGACTGTCTGTGCTGTGTGTCAGACCAGATCCTGGCTCTCCCCAGTCTCCTTCACTCACTGACACTCAGCTATGTGAAAGAAAAGCAGCTCTGACCAGAACATTTGAGACGGAGCGACAGGAAAACTCATACACAGCACAGACAGACATATGAGCCACAAGCATCACAAGTCCATGACAAAGGCATGCGCTGTGAGTCATAGTTTTCCGTTTAACACAGCTCATTTGCCTGAGTCCACATCGAGACGCTTCTGTTAAGAGTCTTATACCATAAATCTTACTTGACTCACATTTCGTACTGCAGCTTCCTTCAAGGGAAAACCAACTTCTCATCTGAAGAAGACTGACTGGGATAACCACTGACGGTTGTCAGGACAGCAGATTTTGAAACTTTGTTGTGATGGTTGCAAAGTTTAAACTATATTGATACCTCTCTCAAGACTATTGCAAAAAAATACATTTCCCAGGCACCCAATATATGGTCATTCATTGTTTTTAATTTCCAAAAACTGGAAGCTCCTGCACACTGTCTTAATTGCACAATTGCATTTGCGATGTTTCAGTACCCAAGCATTCGTAGGGTTTTTAGTAGTATTCAAACAAATCACTGATTGTGAATATTTGCTGTGCCACATGTAATCGGTTTCTTCAGCATGCCGTGAAATGCCTCGTGAGACACCGACCCCGTGCCAGCGATACTAGCAAGCAATAAAAATTAATATTTAGAAAAAGTCAAACTTCTCCTTGAAGGTCTATTGTGCTAAAAACGTCTCACAGGAGCTTTAAAGACGGACATAGTTGTCATATCTCTGTTACTTTTATAACAAGCCTAGTCTCAAGCTTTCAACCAAACAGCCAATTACAGCTATTGCTGGTTAAACGGAAACAATTGAGTTTATCTGAGAGTAACACACCTGTTGCCGCAGCAGGTCATAAAGCTTGTAGTCCTTGTAGACACGGTGTGTGTGCGTGTGCGTGTGCGTGTGTGTGTGTGTGTGTGTGTGTGTGTGTGTGTGTGTGTGTGTGTGTGTGTGTGAGATCATGTGTGAGAGATGGTCCCAGGAGAAGCAGCGGAGCAGAAAGAGGGAGCTCAAAGCCGTAAGCTCTGCTGACAATGGCAGGGTGGGAGGTCTGCCTCGCCAACACACCGGCTTCTTAAGGCTACGGGAGGAATCTGCTGATGGAAAACAAGAGCAGGAATACAGCCCTCACATGTGCACACATGTAAACAGCCAAGGCATCAACCTGTACGGAAAGCTTGGTATCCATCCTGTCAGATCATCTGCTACATGTGCAGTGAGGGCCTTCCTCTGACAGCCTCAGACAGCCTAATCCCACAGTTGTTTTTCTCCCACCAGATTAATTGTGGCCTTTCAAGTAACCTGACAGACATTAGAGCACAAATTACCCATTCATTAAACACACTCGAGTGTTATTTCAACCCCAGCTACTTATCAAGGGCCAACTCTGGGAATGAACATCACAATTACATGAACTGAAGTGATGTTTAAGGCTGTTAGTTCAGACAGTTGGATTACCCTCCTCCTATGCTCCATCGAACACCTTTTACAGTTGCAAAGAAGGAAAGCTGAAAGTTCAACCAGCAAGGCTTTCAAGACAATTATTCCGCTGCTTTCAACTGTTTTAAGCCTTTAAGCAAAAACATGAATGATATGGATCATCTCTTAACTGACAACAAGAAAGCAATAGGTGAGTCCCCCCCCCCCCCCAGAAAAAAAATTCTAACAATTATCATCAGTAGTAACCAGTATGCTTGGTACAAGATTCTGTATTTTTTTTTTTAGATGATTTCTAAAATATGGTACAATGGCAAAGGCACGCAAAGGCTCATTTATGAAATGAAAAAAAAAAAGAAGGTAAGAATTAGATTATTCCATTGATATCCAGACCCAAAATCTGATTGTTGTACATTTGCAAGATGCTTCAAACTTTAACTGACTGATAACTGTATTCCAACAAACATGATCCTGTCTGAAAAACTCATCAGTGTTTCCCCCTAGGTTTACAGCGTTGGGGGGGTGGGGACAAACCGACATGATGACACAAACACTTGAAGGAATCTTGGTGTTCATGTGTTACTTTTAATGACAGCTGTCCTTTTCTATAGGAAAGGTATCCTTAAATGACTTCTTCCCCTGATTTCCGATTTTATACACTATCCTATCTCTACAATAAAAGGCACAAAAAGCCCAAAAATAAATCTTTAAAAAAAAAAAAACCTATACACCTACCCAATATAAATGGTAGGGGAAACACTGCTCATACTTTACATGAAAGATGTCAAATGACTTTCTAGCTGGAGCAGAGTGTTTTTTGAAAAGACAATGCCTCAACTTATTTAAGATTTAAACAAAAAAACAACAGAAATCATGAAAGAT